GTAAACGATACTCTTGCAAGTAAAGAAGAAATCTTATAATCACCTTGTGGTGTGACAATATGAAAATGCTCATACACTTTCTGTATTACTACATCAAATCATGATTTAGGCACGTCAAGTCATGTGTTGGTACGTTTTACAGGACATTATCAGTACGTATGCTTCTTAGATCAGAGCCTAAATGTCGAAATAATCAAACGGTACTCAATATATAATCAAACGCGTTTAAGTATAGTTCTTTCGCCACATATCTTTGTAAAATGACAGAGACGGCACGATATTGAAGTACAATTTACACAATTGAGTAGCCTTTCAATATTCGACCGTAAATATATTTAATATAAAGATATTTAATATTAAAATTATTAATTAAGGGCGAGTAAAGGTGACAGTTTTATTATCGATTCCTTTAATATCTGTGGCCATACGAACAGGACACTATTTATGACTGATTTGTCTACATTAAGTAAAAGTAAAGATTAATTACTTCAAAAGCATGGTTGCCATGGAAAACTTATTCTAATTTTATAAGCCAGAAAGACTGGTTTGGCATCGATCCATATTTTATATAAATACTGGCTTCAGAGTATAAGTGAGTTATACAAGAATATTATAGTTAGTTAAAAGATTTTTCTTTGAAGTAAATACTTTAAAAAAGCTTAAGAGACTGGTTATTGTTATTTATCGGAAATATAATTAAAATTATATCATTATCCATCTACGATTCTGTTTCAGATTAAATAGGAAATCTAATCATATTCCTCTTCACTTTCACTGCTGCGCTGGGGACGAACCAAACGAACCAAATAGAACTTTAAACTTTACAAAATTATTGTTTTTGCACACACCAGATGGCACTCGTGGCGTTTAAAGGCAAACAATAAACTATTCTATTAAAATGGCAGTATTAATATAATTTATTTGGTGGACGAAAATTATTCCATGAATTTGTCAAGCAATGTTAGCGACATATATTATTTTTATGTAATATCACACTGGGATTTCTTTCATAATATAATGTTTCTTTAACATCGGAAAGGGAATAGATCCAAACTAGTGTAATTTGTAACATTCTGATTCAATTTGTAACATTCTCAAACCACTTGTAAGATGAATTTGTCCAGCCAAATCCGCAGGTGTGTAAACAGGCTTATGTATTTCATTCTCTGCTTAAATTTGTAGTCAATAGACAAAATAACACTTCATATAAAAATATCAGATTTTATCGTTATTTGGCTTATTGAGATCACAGTATGGAAGTGTGTGGTGTATTACATAAACTATTGCAATATGTATTCTTAATATAACATATTCAATTAAAGATCAATTTGATTAATTTGTTGTCCCCAGCCATTTAAAAAACATCTTAGTTTCCAATATTCTATGTAACAAAAACTTTGTTATACGTAATGGAATATGATAAATAGTTAAAAAAGATGTCTAAAAACTACACACTTTTGCTTTGCACGAAAATTAATTGACTTCATCAATTTATTTTCATAAATATAAGTACGTAAGTAATAGTAGTAATCAGTTCCCGGTAAGTACTGGGAATCATACAAGAAATAGTATCATCACAACTTTATTTAAACTTCTGTCTAAATATCGGATATATTAGAATATTAAATGGAAAAACCTATTATTACTTTGTAATAATAATAATTCTACAAATTGTATATGGGTACTGTACTATGTATATAGTTATATTTTGGCACTACTTTTATGGAAGTATAGTTTTGTCTTCAATACTGTTTTTACTAATCTACGTATGGGATTATTTATTGGAATACGAAGGCTTACTTTAACTCTAGAATAACACTGCAATCAATTCTGAACTTTATATAGTGCTGAATAATGCTGTGTATTGTTTAGAATTAAAATATATCTGTATAATGAAATATTTTGAAGCTTAACGATTAAATATTTGATTATTTATTTCTATTTAGAAATTAATAGAGACTAGAAGGCGAGTAGGTTTAAACAAGATTTTGTTTCATCGAAATGTATTAAGTTTTACTAGAATATGATCGAAAAACATACAATCGATTGTACAATATACTGATGGCATCTACCTTGGTGTTGTATATGCCATCAGTATATTGTACAGTCGCAACATGGGGTATGTCAACCAAAAATAATCAAACTACACTCGGGAGCAAAGAAGCGGGACCACTAATTGGATACTTGCCAACTAGTCAAAATCTCTATTTTTTTTTTGAACTGTCAAAGACGACAGTTTTCTATGAATTCTGTACGAGATTGTGTATTGTGACGTCACGTTTTTTCAGCGTCAAACAGCATACTTATTTCTTTAAATTTGCTGGAAATGTACTAAAATAAATCGGTCATGAAATCAATTAATGAAAGTGTGATTATTCTTAATATTTCATTGTATTGAGCAGTCGAAATAATTTATTTTTGATGAAGGCAAGTACCCAATTTTAACTTTTTTCATTTTATCGAACTCTTTATATTTAAAAAAAAATCTTTTTACAACACAATGCTTTCATTTTAATGTAACTAAATTGCATTTTATACGACATACGTTACCAATTAATAAAATATGTGTATAAGAAAACCTTTAACAAGAAAGGAAATCGAAAAACGCTAGTGGCTCCAGTAAATAATAACATAACATCACGCCTTTCAACCCCGAAGGTGTAAGCAAAACTACACGTAACACCCACTTTTCAATATTATGTTATGAATCTCGTGTAATAGGGGGGGGAGCCTATTGCCATATACCGGGCCAAATTCCAAACTCCGTACTACCACTGATATTTAAAAAAAACCAGTAGTACTTTGTCCGACCCAGGAATCGATCCCGAGACCCCATTTCCCAGCAGTCACACTTGCGACCACTCGGTCAATGAGGCAGATAAATAATATTAAACACTCGGAACAGACGACTCAAGTTCAAGTTTTCGTCTAAAATTGTATCTGTTGTCAAAAACGTTTTGATGCCACATGTAGTGTTCTCAAAAATATTTCTATAGAAAAATGGTATGATGATAAGACAGGTTTGCTATCTCTATTGTAGGGGGTGTTATATTATCCATGTATACAAAGTGTTCACGTTTTAAAATAATATAATTATGCTCCCTACTCACCTTCTAGTCAAAGTCCTGTAATTTATTTAAAAGCCATTACAAAACATTCTATTGCATTATCTCATTTAAGTGTATAATAATGAAAAATAGTCTTTATAGTTACTATTTTAAGTACTTAATCGACTTGGCAACTACGTTGGAAGAATTTTGGTCTAAATAATGGTAATTTGTTTATACATTTTCGATGTATTTATTGAAATAATTGTACTATTTATCTTTTTGAAGAAATATTTTGTAAAATTATTAAGTAACTATAATTTGGCCTTTGTCGTATTTTCATAAACTTTTAATGGTTTATGTATTATTCTCAGAATTTATGGGTACGTCATTTTTATAGTCAGTCATCGATAATTGAATTGAATAACATTTAAAAGTAATATTAATAAAATTTATAAATTATTTCGACCAAAGGCAGAATCTTATTGAAAAGACACTGCAAGGTATAACTATTTATTTTTGCTTTCAAAGTAAATTAAAACGTCAAAAGACGTGATAGAAACATCTATATAGATTAGATAAAAATCAGAGTATATTCTATACTTCGAAACCAAAATAAAAACTAGCGTCATACTAACGTTTTACGTTCTAAACGAATAATCTTGATCCTTGTATATTTCAATGAAATAAATTAATAACATATCCTGTTTAGGTACATAAATGACGAGATTTCATGAATATCAGTACATTTTTTTAAATAAGTACTATAGTTTCTATAAGCACTAGCGTTTTCCAACTAATTTAATTTAACTAAAAATATTTTTAATATATACAGTCTGAAAAATCAATCCTCACTGTTTCGATTTCGATTTAAGTCGATGTTGACTAGGATTTAAGTTACATATTTTTTTAAGTCGATTATTGGTTTTTTTAATATTGCATACAGTTTTTCTTATTTAAATACTAACTGCTTCTACTTTTGAAGATTAGTAAACTTCTGTATTGATAAAATTATGTACCCGTAAAGACGAAACAAATATTTTGTTTAGTCTTGTTATTGGATGACTATTATTATTTATTTGAGAAAAAAAGACATTACAGCCAATTGGGTACTTGCCAACTAGTCAAATTCTCTATTCAAAGTTTCATTAGTCAAATTTTCTATTAATTTTGTACGAGATTGTGTATTGTGTCACGTTTTTTAGCGCCAAATAGCATACTTATTTCAATACAAAAATTAAGTTGGTCATAAAATCCAGTAATGAAAGTTTGATTATTTTTAATATATAATTTAAAAACTGCGATAATATAAAAACTGCGATAACATTAAGGCATTTAAAACTAAACTTAAGGTACATCTACAAACATTGTAAATCTCGTTAAAATAAAATGAATGTAACCTCTTACCGCACTAGAGGATTTTGTCATATGTATCATAGAAGATAAGGAACCTCTGTATCTCATTTTATGAGAAATAAATTCTTTAAACCAAACCCATATTTTATTGTATTGAACAGTCGAAATAATTTATTTTTAATTAAGGCAGGTACCCAATTGTTACTTAAGTTTTCTTCTCATACAGTTAGAAAAATCGACAATTTTGCATACAAACATATAATATTGGAAGAAATCCTATATACTTGAACTGCTTCATTAACTACGATTTAGAATTCTATTACAACCTTGTTTAAGAATGGCTATTGTATTTCTACTAAGATATATATGTATAATATATTTATATCTTACAGTATTACTGTAAAACCGCTTTGGATAGAAAATTTTATGCTCATCACGAAATATCGATAGCAAAACTTATTTCGCCAGTACGTAATGATAATTTCGAGTTTTCCAGTGTTCATATTTACATAAGTTTACGGCTAAACAACGAAACAAAATGATATGAACATTTTAGATTTTGTTACGATTGGATAGAGTTTGTTTTTGTTTGTACCTTTACGTTTGAGTCGAGCCGTAGGTACCAGGTGGCGGTCTGTAGTCGGCCGGCAACGCCATCACCTGTTTCTTCGTGAACGCGTACTTTCTGATGCCAATGTTCTTCTGTGTATTCTCTCTGCGACAACCCTCACTGAAATAATTAGCATTTTCTTTTAACTAATGACGAGACTACGGATGAAAGAAAATAGACTGAAATACAGAAAGTAATGCAAATACGTAAAAAAGTAATAATAAAAATTAAAACTATGGAGTCTTATTGTCGTCTTGACTGCACGGTTGGCGCAGGGGTTGGACAACTGACTGCCGCGCAACGTGTCGCGTGTTCGATTCCCGCACGGAACAAGTCCACAAATTGTTGTTCCGGGTCTCGGTGTCATGTGTATGTGAACTTGTATGTTTGTAAACGCACCCACGACGCAGGAGAAAATCCCAATGAGGGACAATGTTCAAAAAAAAATTTAAAACTACAAGATGTATTAACCCTGGCTAACGTCCAAATACTGAAACGCTGATTTATTTTAAATCGCGCTCAAGTATACTTCTGTCCCTACAATTTTTTTGTAAATTGATGCAGATGGCACGATACTAAAGTACAATTTAAAATTGAGTAGTCTTTCAGTATTCGGGCGTAAGCATAGCAACAACATTAACAAACATTATTCCAATGGATTTATGTAGGTAGACCTGAGGGCTTAGTACGAGTTTTGTTTTACGTATAAAGTAATCGAAACGAGTACGTGTTCGACGCTTTGATTGGCTGGCTCTAATGAACCAACCAATCAGACCAACGCGATCTCGTACTAAGGTTTTTGGTAAACGAATACGTATGACCGTAGTTGACGCTTGGTAGCTCGATCGCAGATAGGACACCAATTCACTGTCAACTTCAATAACCTATGTATAGACAAAATCTGTGGATTAAGACAGAAACTCCGAACAAGTAATATCAAAAATTGATCCTTATTTATAAGCTGATACTGCTCATTTGCCTCTGCCTCGTTCGCCGAGTGGTCGCAAGTGGTGTCGGGCAAATTATTACTCGTTTTTTTTTTAAATGTCAGTAGTAGCACGGAGTCTAGAATTGTGCCCGGTATATGGCAATGGGCTGACCTCTTATTACATTGTACAGTGGCATTAATGTGCATGTCTGTCTACTCCTTCGGGGATAAATAATGACATGATATTATGTTTTGATACTGCTCATTTCTTGGCAATTATACAAAATAGACACCTAAATATATAGATAGTCCTCACCTTCTCATAATGCTCAGCGCCTTCTTCATCTCATGTTCGGCTAGATGGTACTCGGAAGCCAGTATGGAACATTGTTCCAGCGTCACTGACATTCCCGTCCTATCCTTAGCACTCTTGCAAGATGTGAATCTTACGCCTGAAACATTTGGCAAAAATACATCATTACTTGTTCAATAGGGAATGAAAAATGTTACTGTGATATAATTTAAAAAATACATATCTATATCTTCAAATAACTTCGAAACATTAACAATAATTATTACTGACTATTATATAACTGTGTAATTGGGCCTCCGGTTACCTCACTCACACGACGAAAGACAACGCAAGCGTTGCTTCACGTCGGTTTTGTGTGAGGCCGTGGTATCACTCCAGTCGAGCCGGCCCATTCGTGCCGAAGCATGGCTCTCCCACACTTATGATAAGACATGGTGTTGCTAGACACGTCGATCGACGTCTGGCAACGTCGCGATACTCCACCTAATGTCGCAGGGCATTTGTCCCCAAGTATCCTTGGCTTAAGGGTGGCACCTTCTTGGTTAACCATTGTCAGATTTTTTACGCTTATAACTGATAGTGATGATTGTAATAGATGCTTATATAATAACCGAAATCAACGGCTTAACCCGTCCTTTGCCGGGACTTAAATCTGATCAAAACATAATCTATTTACCTAATTTCTATTGTGTCTCATATAGCAGCAGTCTAGAGATGAATGTACTCTCGAAAGTACAAGGGTTGAATACGACTTACGTTATTTGGTAATGTTTTAAATACTATCACTCAATTGTAATTTGAAACAATGGCGTACTGGGCGTATATAATTTATATTAGTTTGTCGTCAATTGTCCAAATACTCAAACGCAACTTAATTTCAAGTACCAAATTAATGGTGGATTCGCTTACTTATAGTTTTGTCACAACATTTGATTATGTAAATTGACAGAGTTGGCGTTTCAGTATTCGGGCATAAAGGTTATTTTGTGGTTAAAGAGGTTAATAACTGGGGCACAGTTGAACACCCCGTTGTTGAATATTTATTGAACTCTCTTCCTAGCCAAGGATTGTCTAGAAGATATCACATATCTTATTCTTTTGTTTTTTTATGTGCTCTTGTAATCAATAAGGAACAATTTATTTTATTCTAATTCTTACCATTCATGAGTCTAGTTGCTAATGCAGCCAAGTGTAGAACTTCTACGTTTTTCGGAACCTTCTTGTGCACGCATATCCGCAGCGTCTCCATTACTTCCTCGAGGGGCTTCGTTCTGGATGATGCTGGAAATGTAAACCAATATTTATTTATTTAATTTAATTTAATACAATTACTTTGCCATTACAGATAACTTAACCTAATTCGACATAGTAACCTAAAATATGTTTCCTAAACTATTAACAGTTAATATAGTTCATAGTTACTATGAACTATATTTAACTATAAACTTATTAAAATTTTAACTGCAAACTATATTTCCTTACACACTATAGAATAAGTGGTCCTTGTGAACTCGCTCAGTGTACAGTTAAATATGTCTACGACATCAGCCACCGTCTTAAGATATTCTTATTATATAGATAATCTTATTATATTATTAAGATATATATGTATTTTAATATTCAACAAATATTTGTTTTATTTTTACTACACTTATAATTGTACAACGAAAATAGTGTTTGCAGAGTAACCATAATCGGTACCATAATATTTTTTTATGGAATAAGCCGGTAAGCGAACAGGTGACGAGCCGCCTATAGGACCCGAAACACCAGAGACATTACAACGTTACCAGCCTTTTGGATATTATAAATTTGAGATCGGGGGTCGAGGACATTGAGGAAGGGGGTAATTAGGCATCCGGCCTAAATATGTAACAATTTACTGAGAATCTAAGTCTTAGATCAACGATATTCAAAGAAGATGGAAAAAATCGAAAGTATCACCTTTTAAATAGCGTTGGCCAGGTGCAGTATAGTGACAGTGACAGTAAAGTATTAGAAGAACTAGTAATAGATTTTTCGTGTGACAAAAGTATAAATTGTCTACATTTCCCGTGACTGTAGGGAATAAGTGCATATTTTCGATAAAAATCTCTCATAAACTAAATTTTTAAACTGCTGTGTCCAACCCGCAGCATACGGTAGCTTAACAAGACGCCTTTTATCCCCGAAGGGGTAGGCAGAGGTGCACATTACGGCACTTAATGCCACTGTGCAATGTAACACCCACTTTTCACTATTTTTGTTTAGAGTCTCATTTAATAGAGGGTGAGCCTATTGCCTTATACCGGACACAATTCCAGACTGAGTGCTTCTACTGAGAATTTTTAAAAAACTCAGTTATACTTTGTCCGATCCGGGAATCATACCCGAGGAAAACGAGCCAGGATCAGGATGATACCATGCTTTCTCAAAGGAGATTATCAGTTAAACAGTAACCTGCCATGAGCTATTAATATGATGACGCGAAATAGTGTTCTTTAGTTTTGAAGTAAAACTATGAATGTATTTTTTTATGGCATAAGCCGGTAAAGGAGCAGACGGATCACCTGATGGTAAGCAATCGGCGTCGCCCATGGACACCCGGAACACCACAAGCGTTACAAATGCGTTACCGGCCTTTTGGGGATTAGGAGTTTGAGGACCGTTGGGGATTCAGGGATTGGGGAGATTGGGGAAGGGGGGGGGGTGGTAATTGGGCCTTCCGTAACCTCACTCACACGACGAAATACAACGCAAGCGTTGCTTCACGTCGGTTTTAAGTAAGGCCGTAGTATCACTCCGGTCGAGCCGGCCTATTTGTGCCGAACCATGGCTCTCCCACACTTAAAATGTATGTATGTAGTAAACAGTCCAAGACTCACCTCTGCTGGCCGCCATATGGTCTGTAGGGAATATCTTGCTATACTTATGGTAGTACTTGTTCAACCTGTCCAAGTTATCACTGTTGGAATGGTACTGCGGCGTCGTTTCTCCTAGAGCCTCGGCTAACGTCGCCTTCTCATTGACACCGATGTTGAAGAACACTGCTGTTATCGTGAACGATAGATGCTGGAATAAGCAAATAGATAGTGTAAGAGTATGTTTATCATCATCAACAGCCTACAAGTGCTCACTGCTGAGCAAAGGCCTCTTCTCACACGGAGAAGGTTTGATCATAAATCACCACGCTTGCTCAATGCGGGTTGGTGATTACAAACTTATAATTAGAAATTAAGTGTAAGTCCGGTTTCCTCACGATGTTTTCCTTCACCGTTTGTCAGTGGTGTCTAAATAATCTTTAGAAAGTACATATAACTCGGACAAGGTCACATTGGTACTTGCCTTTGGTAGGTTCCGAACCCACACTCTCATGCATCAGAAGCGGGCGTCTCAAACCTCCGGGCCACCACGACATTATACAAGTGTGTTTATGTTTATCGTCAATGTCGCCAATAGACAATTTATTGTAGCACCATAAGAGTTAGTGCGTTGCAGACCTTTTAGAAGAGTAACGAATGGAGTTTCTTGCTCGTTCTTCTCCATTTGAATCTACATTTTCGAATGACCTTCACTGACGGACAGACTATAATTAATATTGTATTTGTTGAAATTTCAAAAGTATCCTTACTATTATAAATGGGAAAGTGAGTTTGTTTGTTTGTTCCGCTTTCACGCCGTAATTTCTAAACCGATTGCTTTGAATTTTTGCAGGCGTAAAATTAGAAGTCCGTATTAAATAATAGGGTACTTTTTATACCGAAATATGTTGGTATTCCCAAGGGTAAACAAAAGAATTGGTATAGATGGCGCTGTGTGTATTGGTATATGTCACATAGGCTACTTTTATCCTTTTGTGATGCGAGCGAAGCCGAGGGTAAAAGCTAGTAAGAAATAAATGCTTTGACTGTGAATTTAAAACTTTTAAAACACTTAATTGAATAGGGTAGATGTCATGCCAAGTATTCGAATACTACTTTACAAGAATTGTGTGTGAGACCGTCACTTATGACATCATAAAATTTTAATACCTAGCATATTGTTTTTTTTTTTGTAAATTACCAAGAAAATGAAGAATATTCTCAAATCCTATCCTACTATTTAACATTTACTTAAATTATTAATGTGTTATTTCTTGCGTATCACACAATACACAGGTCAAGTTTGTGAGGATGTATGTGTGTGTGTGTACACACAAACACACACACACACATACATTTTCGAGTAACAATACTCAATGAGAGTAACAATACTCTTTAACGTCGAAACGGCTAAAAGGATCGAGATGAAATTCGACACAAGGTTAGGATGTGGTCTGAAATAACACATAAGCTACTTGTTATCCTACGGGAACGCGGGCAAAGTCGGTGGCAGAAGCTAGATAAAAGTACGATTCCATCGTGAAAACTCGAAATCATTTTGTCTGAAGAAACTACGATACAGTGGCATGGAATGAAGTATCATACTACTCGGACCTAGACCTGTCCGCCAAGTTTGTCTTCGCCGCCTATGAAAACAGGCTGAGGGATAGTTCACGTCTCCTTTTAGAGCGAGACTAGGGATACGGATAAAGCACATTAAATTAGAGTCAGTAAGATTCCGTCAGTAAGAGTCTGGCACTCCCTCTCACTTCACTCACGTTGGGAAAAGTCATTAGATCCCCCCCCCCAAAGGGGATTGATAAAGATTTAATTTTTAATTTGGGACCACTCGTAAATACTAAGTTTGTTGTGTTTACAACAAAGTTAAGTTTTTAACCGATCTAATGCTCGCAGGCAGGGCAGCAAAATTATTAATTATTCTCTTTTTAATAATTTTGTTCAGTAGTAAACATCTTTTACCTTCAGCTGACGATGATGATGCAACGGAAGAAATTCTTTATACAACTTACCTCTTTAGAAGTAAATTTGGTATAAAGGGAATCAGAAATAGGAATGTAGACGGTGAGCGCTCCTCGGGTTCCAGAGACATGTGGCACTGATGAATTGCTGAAATCGTATGAAAATTGTGTTAATATAGAAAATTTAGGACTTATTGGCTAGTAAATCATAGAATGTTTATTTATTTATTCATATTGCACAATGTACATATAATATGAAGTATTACATACAACTAATTAAGTACATTGCCCTGTTAGGGCGCAGCAATTTAAAACGTTACAAATTTAGTATCAGCCGAAATTTATAACTATTACTTAGAGCTATAACTATACCTATATATTATTACTAATCTATAGTTTTTTCCTAATCTTTATGTCACCCCGTGACTTACAATGAATATATCTAAAGAAAATAATAGATAGATGACCTAAAGAAAATTAAAATTTTGGCGGTCCATAGCACACGGCGTATTTTATACGCGTAGGCAAAGAGACACGTTCCACGATCGCTCCGTGTGCTTAAGTTACAAGGTTGCTTTCGAAACTCTTATGAATCATTCCCTACGCGTATAATAATACGCCGTGCTTTAGACCTTAAGTATAAAAAAAAACTAAAAACAAGGAATGTGCAAAATAATTTACTATGAAAAGAAAAGATTCACTGACCTATGACCAACTTTAGTGAGTGTAAACACGACAGTTTGTAGATCTTCGACAGCTACCACCATGTCACCCCACATCGCCTTCTCAGTAGAATACAGGCTCAGTAGACCTTCGAACCCGCACAGCGGTCCAAGGCCAGAGCTAAGTATCTTAGCGACGATGTCTCCAGGCATTGAACATAACCAGCATAGCAGCCCCGCCGTTACTGTTGACAGCTGTAATGAGAAACATAACATAACATGCCTTTTATCCCTGAACGGGTAGACATAGGTGCACATTACGGCACTTAATACCACTGTACAATGTAACACCCACTTTCCACTATTTATGTTACGAGTCCTATATAATAGGGGGTGAGCCTATTGCCATATACCGGGCACAATTTTTTTATTTTTATTATTTTTTTTTTAAACGTTGCCCCACACTAGGATTTTCTCCTGTGTCGTGGGTGCGTTTACAAACATACAAGTTCACATACACATGACACCCAGACCCGAAACAACAAATTGTGGATCACACAAAGTGTTGTTCCGTGCGGGAATCGAACCCGCGACACGTTGCACGGCAGCCGGTTGCCCAGCCACCGCACCAACCGTGCAGTCAAGTCATTCCAGACTCCGTGCTTCTACTGAGATTTTTTTAATGAGAAACAGTGGAAACTACTTCATTATTCTTCTCGTCTAATAATATATTTTGATTTATTTTATTGCAGGATACATTTCCTTTTTGTCATTTAATAACATAATTCTAACATGCTTTCTACCATACTTATCTAAAATGGTCGAATAGACGTTTCTCTTATTTTGCATACTTATGGGCGTTTTCAGTAACCAGTAGATTAAAGATATAATTTTAACACATTTTGTGTGAAGTTTATATTATACAATGTTAATAAATGCTTTTATAGAAAGCTCCACATACCGCTTGAGAGAAGCAGGTGTCCCTTCTAGTTTGTAATGCAGCGTGTTCGCGAGCCCAATGCGGCGATTCGCACCTAAGCCGGAACGCCGCATGAGCTAGGCGCATCCACCTCGCTGCATCATCAGCACTGCTCCTCACACCATCCATCAAGCCCTTTATCCTCTCCAAGTCCTCGTCCGATGAAGCTGGAACATAATTTGAGATAGATGCATAACACGGAAAGTACCATCTATCCTACTGATGCATGAGGAAATTTTTAGCCTAGGAACGCGGAAGAAACCGCCAACAGAAGTTAATTTGGTAAAATTACCCATGTCCTTTATTTTTTTGTGAGCAGGCGGATCCTCTGATGGTAAGCAATCTGCGTCGTTCATCGACAAGCGGAACACGAGAGGCGTTACAAGTGCGTTAACGTTACCGGCCTTTTGAGGATTAGGAGTTTGAGAATTATTGGGATTCAGGGATTAAAGAGTTTAGAAAAGGGGAGAGATGATTAGGCTTCCGGTAACCTCACTCACACGACGAAACACAACGCAAGCGTTGCTTCACGTCGGTTTTAAGTAAGGCCGTAGTATCACTCCGGTCGAGCCGGCCCATTCGTGCCGAAACATGGTTCTCCCGCACTTGAATTAGTTCTATTTAAAACATTCAAGCAAAGGGTGTGTTCAAGACCCGATTAAACAGGTTGCTCATAGGTAGACATGGTCCATTGTCAGCCACATCATCGAGTCATCTTACTGAGTACATCATCTTACCACCTGGCGAGATGATGGCCAAACGTCACTATATTTACAAAAAAAAGCGAACAAGAGCGTATCATTTATTACACTCTTAAACCGTAAACATAGTTATTTGTATTGTTCTGTAAAACTAACTACCGTAAAATGGGGTGAATAGGGTTTGAGCGGCGACAAGGGACAGAAGAGGGGTGAATCGATACTATTAAGAATTTCCTTATTCACCCCATTTTACCGTTACTGGCACAATAGCAGCCTTCTTTCATATAAAACTGTCTGACTGAACTTGACGGCACGGTTGGTGTGGTGGCTCGGCCACCGGCTCCCGTGCAGTGTGCCGCGGGTTTAATTCCCGTACGGAACAACTGTTTGTGTGATCCACAATTTGTTGTTTCGAGTCTGGGTGTCATGTGTAAACTTGTATGTTTGTAAACGCACCCACGACAGGGACAAAGTTTCATAAAAAAAAACTTGCGAACTTACTCTAACCTTTAAACATTTTTGATATACTTCTTCCCAAAGAGAACACATATAAAATACATAAACAATTACCATTATTGATCACGACTCTATTAAGCTCTTCTACGAGACAAGTAAGGGAGTCTTCGACCACGATTCCGACATTTCTTAAGAATGCTAGATTGTTGTCTCTCGTTGCTTGATCCAGTTGTCCAACAGCTGGTAATGTTGCCGACTCCCGCCTCAATTCTATCGCCTGGAACCAAGAGTTCAAATGATAGGTTAATAATTGCTTGTCTTTATACATTTTAACGCTATATAAGCTTTGTGTGTGTTTAAATATCACGTTATAAATTCTAATATCCTGAGTAACCTATTATCCGGAGTTCCTTGCTCGTTCTTCTCCATAGGAATCTCAGCATTGGAACGAGCCAATAGTTTCACTAGAGGACTGACCGATAGACGGACATTTTATTCAATATTTCAATATTTGTTTTGACGTTCAAAAGTGCCTTCCTGGTCTAATTAAAATAAATGGTTTTGACCTTAATTTTGAAAATTATCGTTTATCATTTAAAAAAAAATAAAATGTTTATTATGTGACTTTCTATTTGGTCTTAATAAATTACTGTCAAATAAAATTTAGTATAATTTACGTATCAAAAATTAATAGTAGAGCTTTGTTTTTATAATAACTATCGTGAGACATACTAAATTAATCTAAAATTCGCGGGTTACGCACGTGAATATACTGAGAAAAGCTCTACTAGTTTCGAGTCACAGAGGGGCTCTTCCTCATAAGCAGGGTGTGCGGTCGCGGCGATGTCGCGCGGCCTACTAGCGCAGCATGAGTTACTTGCGATTTTTAGTTAATAATAGAGCTTGTTGTTCCAAGTGACCAGTCTACTTTTCACGTGTAGACAAAATACAATAATGGTTTTATTAGCTAGCCGTCCTTTCCAAAGCACGGGAGTGCAAATCTCAATCTACAGCGATTGATAACAAAATATTTATTGCACAAACGAAATTGTATTTTATCTTTGTCTTGATGTCATTTACTCGCTGTCAGTAACATTAACAACTTATAGTAACCTGAAGGAACCTAATAATAACCTCTCGCGTGTTTCTCGTACACACGGGTGTACGAGAGAGATAAATGCCCATCGCGCAATTGTACACACGGGTGTACGAGAAACGCGCACCGATTGGATATTTTTTCTTGACGTATATTTTCAAGTTTGCAACCCGTTCTTTATTTGATTGAACAGAATAGTTAATCCGCTTTTCTATTAAAATATTTACCAGTGTGTACGAGAACGCGCGTTTACCCGTGTCCACGAGAGGCGCACGAGAGGCGCACCAGAGGATAATATATTGTTACCAAAATACCCTAATAACACAGTGTTTTGGTAAGTACTCAATACAAATTTAAGTTATTATTTATGGAATTGAAGGCACGAGCAGACGGGTCACCTGGTGGTAAGCGATTTCTTATTACCATATCGTTAATTCGAATTACTTTATGACCATAAAGTACTTACAGAGGTATTGATAAATATTTTACTAACATTATAAAGAAAAACTTGTCCCTAAATGTCATGTAAAAATGTTCCATACAATATTAATCTTTGAGATTGTTAATGTCTACTTTTTACTAGATTTTTCTATAACTATATTGACTTTAAAATCATTAATATTCATAGACATGTTCAGTACACACATGAAGACTAGTGTTTTCTAAAACGCATGCAGCTATAGCAGCAGGCAATATTTTATAAATAAATTACAAAACAAAATTACTAAAGTATAATACAATTGCCTTTCTTTATGAAGCAAGCTAGTAAATAGCAAATATGTAAATGCTTCGACACACACATATTAAAAAATGTAAATGAAAAACTTTTTTAAATTTGGATTACAGTTCAGTCGCAGCAGCGTTCAAGATTATAACTAATAGGATAAAATTGAGTGGAATTTTGTAATTTTGGTTTAGATTAACGATTTTGTAGGGCATTTTGACAACCACAATAAGTTATTCGCAAACTATAATCGCCATGGTAAGAAACATAAAGTAACAGAAAACATTTTCTAATATAATCTTATTCAATATTAATACATAATACACAAAAAACAGATGTATTTAATACAGTTGGCACATTTACATTGCCTGGTGTAAGCGCGCCGCTTGTTCGCGGTGCAATCGACAAATAAGTACGCAATTGAAGGGATTTTAAAACGTTTAAATAGTGACAGCATTCAAAATAGAAGTAGCGCGAAGAATAAATATTGTCAACAATCGCAATTGTAATATATATAGCACTAAATATTATTATGCCCAGTTCATTATAATATTATATATCAATCAGTATTACATCATTGAGTCACAAAGGGTCTAATTACAGCTCTCTACTAGGCTCTCATTACGCTTCTTAAATTAGACTTCGGATATGTAACAAAATCTAGTTCAACAATCAGGAATGACCGTTTTGTAAACATAACATAACATCACGCCTTTTATCCCTTAAGGGGTAGGCAGAGGTGCACACAGAAGTAACACCCACTTTTCACTATTTATGTTACGAGTCCCATGTAATAGGGGGTGAGCTTATTGCCATATACCGGGCACAATCCAGACTTCGTGCTACTACTGATTTTTTTTAAACCCAGTAGTACTTTGCCCGACCCGGGAATCGAACCCGAGACCCCTTGCCCGGCAGTCGCACTTGCGACCACAGGCCAACGAAGCAGCCATAATAAAAGAAATTGGTATAATAAAAAAAATATACTTTTTTTTACTTAATTTACGCTAGCCGACAATAACTTATGGATTAAGTGGTATAGCTTCTGTAGATTTAAATTATCTTTATGCCACCTATGGCGCTCTAGTTAACATACACATTGCAGCACTTCCTATATAGAAGTAATGGTTTGTGTAAAATAATAATAATACAATGCCTATGTGAGCATAACAATAAACACATCAATATACACCACTCTTTGTTCTAGAACCGTTTGTGGATTGAAAATGGAACGTACTTAATTTGCACTACCTGAGAGCTTGCCAGAGCATAGATAATTAAAAAAAAATGTTTCATCAACTATTATGTACATAGAAACATTATAAGAACAACCTTTTAAGCAAGAACATGCTTGTGGTAGGCGGTCCTCCTATGCTAGTGACATGGTTTGATCGCTTGGCTTAAAAAATAATGTAATATCGTCGCCAAGCTCAATTCACATTCAATAGCTGTGCACAATTGTAATTAGTGTTCGCTGCTAATTAATTAGTGACAAGCACCGAGCATAGTTCTCCTATGGAAGGAAGGAACCAAATGTTATGCTAAAATTGGGTACTTTATTAAACCAATCATAAATTATAATTAATTTCGACTGTTCTTGACTTCCATCACTTGATTTTATTACCAACTTAATTTTAGTATTTTCCAGCATTTTTTTAAGAAATAAGTATGCTGTTTGACGCTAAAAAAACGTGACGTCACAATGCATAATCTCGTAGAAAATTCATAGAAAACTGTCGTTTTTAACAGTTCGAAAAAAATCGTATTGAACTTGACTAGTTGGCAAGTACTCAATTTATAGTATGTTTGTATAGTTGGTAGCTTTAAGTTTTCCCCATTGTTGTTGCTAATCTGTGACAACATCGTGAGGAGTGTAATTGTTGAATCTATTATTTTATTTATTCATGTGTTATATTTGATATACAACTGTTGGTTGTCCTTGATAAATAAAATGAAAAAATAAAAACCCATGCATTTTAGACACGAATATTTAAGAATTGGTTATAACATCAAATTCCTTTTTAAATTGTTTACTCATTGATTATTTACTCATTGACTTCGTAAATAATAAACGTAAGCATAGTTAACAACGCTGGCTAAGAGTTATTTTAAGAAACTACTAGAAGAATTAAAATTATTCGACGTCGCATAGAAAAATAGTAAACAAATGCAAGAGCACTTTTAAATTTCAGCTCACACTTAAATTGTAAAACGACACATGCGACAAGTTTTGTAAACTACAAATAATCGCTGATCACATTTGCAAAATAGAAAATAACATCACAGAACCTTATTCACTTTGCAATCGATACACCATTATTTTTATATTCAGCGCATCAAAAATGGCATATTACATTGCAAAATAGCATTCATTTAATGACATTTTTGTGCATGATAGCAAATAACAAATTGCTATGAAATTAAATAAAATTAAAAAAAGTAATCGCTTTGTTTAGCATCAAGGATGGTGCATGTTTTGAGCATTTAACAAAATTTTTGATAGTACAACCGTGCCGCAACAGCGATTTGATAAATGTAAAATAGTTCAAATCAGAATTTATTGTATGACATACGTAAAACAATAAATTTATAGTTTGCAATGAGTATTGTGTATTATTACTCATTACTTAATACAAATGTCGTGGTGGGCCGGAGCGTTAAGACACCCACTTCTGATGCTATATGTACTTTAGACACTATTTTTAAACGGTGAAGGAAAACATCGTGAAGAAACCTTTATATTTTCTAATTATAAGTTTGAAATCGCCAACTCGCATTGAGCAAGAGTGGTGATTAATGCTCAAACCAGCTACTCAGCAGTGGGCATTTGTAGGCTATTGATGATATTGATGACACCGCAAACAAACAATCGCAAATGACATATATTTAAAAGTTTACACAACTGCATACCAAATACTTATACTTAACAACAGATGTTTAAAACCCACCTTTTTCTTATCATTCCTGAGACTATCCACCAAACTTCTATAGGACACTTGTTCGAGTGACGCGGAGCTCTTGAAATCATGTCTCAAGCTGCCATGTCGCTTGGTGTAATCAAACGATAGGCTTTGCCCATCAATCTTCGGTTTAGACAATCTGACAGATCGAAACGAATGGTTTAATCCACCTCTATCCCTTTCTTCAATTTCATTTTTGAAATAGTCATTATGAAATTGTAATTCTGTTTCTGCGACCTTCTTTTTTGGATAGTTAGATATGTTTGGTACGCTCGATGAGAGGGTTGGAGTTTCCCCAGTGGGGGAGGTCTCCTTTGAACTTGAACTGGATGAAGCGTCGAACGTATCGCAGTCTGAGTTCGCGTCGAACATACTCAGTTGTTCTGTTAGCCGCATTATTGTTGACATTGTCTGTGGATATACAAGTTTTGGTTATATACATTTGTTCTGACAATAAAGAAGCAAAGGTAAGTATTTATTTGCCATAATAAGAAATATTAACCTTTTGACCGAAAGTATTATTTGCGATAAGCCAATAATATTTCTATTTATTTTACCAATTATGTTCCTTGACTCATTCTTATTTTAATTAATTGACCTCCATTCAGTATACCTATTTCGTTTACATTTACTTAAGATGACAATAAACTTAGACAATTTCCAAAAAAAAACTATTGAACGGTTGAATGCTTAGCACGTCTTTAATTACTTTTTTGACTTTGAAAGCTTATTAGCTTTCAACCTAAAATATAACGAACGATAGTATGCAGATAAAATTAGGAAAACTGTTTACAATCTATTGTATTTTAAAAGTTACCATTAATTGTAGATTTATTACACAATAGCTTTGCCCGCGTATTCCTGTTTTATCCCATGGGAGCATTTAATTAGGATAAAAATCCTCGGGATAAGTATCCTATCACCTAAGTCAACCCGCACCCTGCCTGTACACGACATCAAAATCCATTCCAGTGATTGCCGGATAATCCAAAGAACCAAACAAAGAAAGCTTCACATCTATATATATAAAAGAAAGTCGTGTTAGTTACACCACTTATAACTCAAGAACGATAGAATAGATTTGGCTGAAAATTGGTAGGGAGGTAGCTTAGAGCCAGGAGACCGACATAGGATACTTATTAACCAAATTTTTTTTTTACTTTTTACCGAAAATCACGAACGGAAAAAATGGGATTACGCGTATGAAATCGCGGGCAGAAGCTAGTTTATAATACTAGTGTGATACCTGTTGTGTCTCGTTGTGTGTATCACCGTCATCAGGGCTATTGTTCTTTGGCCAGCCGATATAAGACAGTGACTCCTCTACCACGGCCGGTTCCCACTGCGCCAGTATACTCTTTGTTTTACTTTTAATGCCTGTAAAGTACAAAAATGTAATGTAACATCTAGATTAAATAGTGTAATAAATATTATTTTTAATCATAGGACTGCCTCGTTGGCCTAATGGTGACAGGTGCCACTGCCGGGCAAGGGGTTTCGGGTTCGATTCCCGGGTCGGGCAAAGTATTAGTTATTAAGGTTTTAAAAAAAACTCAGTAGTAGCACGGAGTCTGTATTTGTGCCCGGTGTATGGCAATAGGCTCACCCGCTATTACATGGAACTCATAACATAAATAGTGAAAAGTGGGTGTTACATTGTACAACTGTAAAAATGGAAAATGCAACTGCATTTAGTGCTATAATGTGCACGTCATAAAAAGGATTGATGTTATGTTATGACAGGTATGCTCTAAGGCAGTACTGGTTACCGGGCTGAAAAGACAACTTATAAAAAAGTGAGCCTATGAGCCTATTGCTGCCTACCATACAAACACATACCGTACGTAGGCCACGGTAACTGATTACCATAGTATAAAAGAAAACAAATTATTTCTGCCAGGTTTAGCATACCCAACTGATTTTTATGGATTAAGATGCAAATAAACCGGTTGTCCACCTGATAGTAAACAATTAGCGTCGCCCATAAACACCAAATACCAGAGATGTTACAAGTGTGTTACCAGAAATATCTGTAAGGCATTACTAAATCACCTGTGAACAAAAACCAATCAACCAAGACCTCTACAGCTGGACATTTACTTACCATCTACAACTGCAGTGATGGCTCCATACTGCTGGGCCTGCATCAGCATGATTATCTTCTCCATATCTTCGGAGATGCCCTCGCGAAGTCTCCTCACCGCCACCAAGTTATCGTACTCAGCCTGTATCTTGTTCGTGATGGAATTCATCTCTGCTTTAGTGCTGTTTATATCCTTTACTTGTTGTACTAGCCTGGAAATTTTGTTTCAACCTTTTCAGTTATTTATTGTCGTCATTTTATCGAATGATAATATTGTAAGTTGCTGTTGAAATATGAGTACATCGTAGGATTATTTTCTAATTAAACTTTGATCGTCCCACTATTAGACTAAGACCCGATTTTTCAAACACCAGATAAATTTTATAATAAGGCATAACTTTGAAAATTTATTGACATTTAGTCTACTTCATACTAAAGACTGTAAAATATCAATTTTATTCTATAGTTAAAAATTGTCTCTTGGTTGGAAAATGTCCCCTAAGGACCGATTAGTACGGAAGAATTGTCAGATGCTCAAAGTTATTCCTAAGTTAAAATTTATCTAGCGTTGGAAAAATCAGTACTAAATATATTTTTTTAGTGTGTCTCATTTAAAGTTCATGTTATCTTCGTTTGAGGATAATAAACTGCTGAATATCGTTCGCAACGTTTCGGTATGATCGTATTATAAATAAAAACTATTTCGGATGTGATATGTTTAGTCATTGTTTCTTGTAGTCAAGGTGGTTGGCAAGTCACGGCAACGCGGCGTTTGGCATTTTTTTTACTATTTTAATCTACAATCAACCGATTCGGCTGGAATCAGATGAGATGTCGTGCTATTGGTACTTTGGAGAATTGCACATCCCGTGACATGCCAATTCCATTTCTTTTTCCCTCTTAACGGGTTTATATGGACGCTAGTCGCTTTTTTTCAGTCGAGATAAGCAGTTGTCTGATTTAATGAGCTGTTAAGCCAGATAGTTAATATGTTGGCCAAGGCGTTGTCTGTAAGACACAGATGAACTTTTTATGGCGGTTGGCATTTGAAAAAATTATGAATCACTACAAAAATAATCCTATTTTAGAAATCGTTAACTTTTACCTGATTAATCCTCCAGTTCGCTCAGCTTTATGCGTGTGTGTTGCGAAGGCTCCAACGGTGACGATATCGTGGAAGCCAGTTTTGTTCAGGGTGTCATTATGCACCCACATCCGTTGCAGATGGAGGTTGATCGGAGCGAATTCCAAGCTCGCGTCTTCTGTAATGTTATAAATTTTGTTGTATGTAAAATTGGTCTTATTTACATTGCAATTTGTAAGAAAGCAAACATATTGTGAAAGAATAAGAAATAAAGTTAAAAACAATAATGTTCTTTGGTCTACTCTTTTCCTTACGTGCGTATTAGGTAGTACATTTCTATGTTACATAACAACTTAGCTGAAAACATAATATCGTTGTAGTTTTTTGACGCTCTTTGTAAATAGTTATTTTTAGAGTTTTTTTTATGTTCTTTGTATACAGTATTAAGTGTTATAGTTTCAAATGTAGGTATCTATTATATTAATAACATATTAAACTGTCAAACACCAAGCGGTCACCGGTGACCGCGACCTATTGTTCTTTAATTGTGTCTATAAAACCGGTACTCCACGAGTTAAAATATAATGTTCAGAAAAAAAAAGTAACTGTCAACGTCGTCATAGACGTTGTCGTCAGAGACTTTATCATCAGAGTACCAAGCACGAATAACTATCGCATTCGTAACGTAATAGTATCGAGCGCGTTCGGTGCTCTGGGGGCTTACTCTTGAATCCAATTCCGATCGATCGACATTGGTATTGTGAAATTTCGTACTCTTGAGTTGCAATACAAGCGCGCATTGCATCCGTATTGCGTGGATATTGAATGAACTAAATGTTATTGAGTTTGGCTTTATATCCCGTACTCTAAATGCTATATTGACAGCTACGATTGGGGTTGTATAGTTTTGACATTGAATATTAATTTTATTGGATTGAAATTGCATTGATATTGAGATTGGTTTCAAGAGTAAGCACCCTGATTGGCCGGCTCCAGTAAACCAACCAATCAGAACGCTTAACTCGCTCGATACTGTTACGATACGAATGCGATAGTTATTCGTGCTTAGCCCTCAGAGACGTTGTCGTTGACGATGTCATTAGAATTATTACTGAGAGAAATATCCTTTTCAGAGCATACATTTTTATTTCATTCTTTCCTACCAAATTTCAACCAGATTACATCATACTGTCTATTCACTATTCACTTCTCAAAAAAATAATAAATCCTCTATTCAATTTTCTTCTCAAAATGTTACCAGCATATCACCTTAAACCACTCGAAAGTCTACCTTAGTACCACAAGAATCTTTTCATACAAAAGAAAAACATTAGTTACCTTTCCTACTGCTCGCTTTGAAGTGTTGATTCTCCATACTAAGCATACACCGTCGTGAGTGGCAGTAGTGCTTCAGTAACGATACGTGTGTGCTGACCAGGTCCAGTTGTCGCGTCTGCCATTGTCCGCATATCTCCCCTACTGAGAGAAGTTCGTCTAACAACTCTTTTTCTCTCTGAATGTAGATATCTCTGAAATATACATAACATAACATCACCTTTTATCCCCGAAAGGGTAGGTAGAGGTGGACATTACGTGCAACTGTACAATATAACATCACCTTTTCACTATTTATGCTATGAGGCCCATGTAATAGGGGGTGAGCCTATTGTCACATACTCGGCACAATTCCAGACTCCGTGCTGAGATTTTTTTAAGAAACCCTGTAATACTTTGCTCGACCCCGGAATCGAACCCGAGATCTCTTGCCCGGCAGTCGCGCTTGCAACCACACAACCAACGAGGCAGTCAAACCAAAAGCAAATGCGACGGACAAAATTAACCTGCACTACCTCTGAAATACAGTGCAGGTTGATTTAAGAATTTGTTGTTGAGAGCTTACTGCCTGATGAAGACCAGGTGATTTTTATCAAAACATGGTTTAGTTTTAAAGGTTTTAGTGTGAATTTCTGAAATACTGCGTCAAGTGAAATATTGGTGGTTAATGTGATTTCAAGTTGTAAGTGTAATTTTCGAAATATTACAGCTACTAAAATCTTTCAAGATATTCTTATACATTACGCTAGAACTAGAAAATACATCACGTATTATGTTTCAACTGTGCTTCTATACGGTTTACTTGAAATAGATTCATTGTCAAATCAATTTATTTAATTTAAATGTACTAAGAAATACAAAAATTTGATTCGTCCATTAAGTAAAACATTGAAGACATTGATTATTTACTTAAAATGAGTACAGCCACCTACATTGTGACTCATATGATGGACTTAACAATCACAAATATATTTTTCATACTCACAGCAACTGTATCGGCATTGTAAAGCACAATTTTGGTTCAGCCATAATCTCGTGTACTGTTATATCGCCGCCAAGGCCTGAATGGAACCTATACGTGACTTGGTGGCTGTTGACAAAGTTCTGCTTCAAAAGATTGCCGTATGAAGGGAACTTTAGCTTTAATCCAAGTCTGGGTGGCAGTGACTGTGAACGTCTGTGACAGAGTACTTTATGAGGTATGTCTATACTGTTTCTATCGTTCGTGTGGCTTGGACTCGTGCCAATGTAGGAAGGTTCGAGACTCCATCCATTTATAGTAACGAAGCCAACTGTCTTTTGGTCACGCGTGATAAGCGCTACTCGAAGTCTTTGCGCCTCCTGTGGAATGGCGAAAGTAAATATTACACATTTTAAGTTCGTAAACTAAAGCATTTGTCTCATGGGAGTCGGCAAAAACCACAGAACTCCAATTAGAACGTTTCCTATATATTTCTTTAGCATTAAAAATACCCTGCTACAAGGTTTTACGGCGACTCGTTCGATTAGTACCACTAACAACTTCGGATGGAGGCATCTGACGTATTAAGGTTTTACCGTCTGTATTCTTCGAAAGGATCATTTTCTGAAGCACTTTTTTGCACCTTTGGTACTATTTTGATTCACGTAAATATTTTTGTGTGTACATATATATATTAGTTACGGTGTCGCGGTGGCCCGGAGGTTTAAGACGCCCACTTCTCATGCATGAGGGTGCGGGTTCGAAACCTACCAACGGCAAGTACCAATGTCACATTTTCCGAGTTATATGTACTTTCTAAGATTATTTAGACACCACTAACAAACAGCGAAGGAAAACATCGTGAGGAAACCTGGACTTACAATTTCTAATTATAAGTTTGAAATCACCAACCCGCATTGAGCAAGCGTGGTGATTAATGCTCAAACCTTCTCCGTAGGAGGAGGCGCTTTGCTCAGCAGTGGGCATTTATAGGCTGTTGATGATGATATATATTAGTTCCTTGAGGAAATCGGACCACAATACAATTTCGTCAACAGTCAATGGCCCAACCGCACTGCCCATCCGAACAATCAAACAAACAAAAAGCAAATATTCAAAATGCCTTTACCTGTATAGTACTAAGCAGCATAGACGTGTACCCCATAGGCACAATAGTCTCAGAGACCCGCTCCTTAACGTCGTACACCACGATGCGCACCAAAGCAGACCCTGTCAGCCCGTCACTGGCTCGGAACAGTATGGTCTTTGAGAAGCACGGGTTACTGCATGTCTGGAACATTAAAGAAATATTCTGTAGAAAAGTTTATTAACATATTATATGTCCATATGTATTGAAGTAACAATTTTTCTTTTTACCAAATGTTACTGTTGTGTTAGGTTTAAATCTAATGTTGTTACATTAGGTTTTTTCACTTTATTCAATTTACGGTATGTAAATAAATGAATTAATTAATTTATATATATCGCCTGCGATACAGGATTGTCCTAGTCCAGGCATCTAACGTCGTGACACCAATTTTAGCTACTTAAGATTTATTTATGTATCTTGCATAATTGTCCGTAAATTTTTTTGGAATTATATAACATAACATAACATCACGCCTTTCTTCCCCGGAGGGGTAAGCAAAGGTGCACATGACTGCACTTAATGCCATCGTACAATGTTACACCCACTTTTCACTATTTATACCGCGATGTTATGTTATGTGTGTCATTGTCCTATAAGACCAGAAAACCAAAAATCTTTACGCAATAAAATTAATAGAGAGTGAAATCTATTATAACTCCTTTAAGTAATAGACTGGTACACAATCTTAATCAAAACTACTGATTTTAACGACTGTGTTCATGGAAATATGTAGAAATGATAACTATCAAAAATTGTATAATCAATAGTTAGATATACGTACCTCAACAATTTCAGTGGCTCCATATTTAATGCAGAGACCTTTATCGTTCTTCACGTAAATGATAACAAGAGGCGATGGCGGTCGGCCGTGTGTGTCACAAAGAAGATTGTCGCATGAGAGTGCCAACTCACACAGCGGCACTTCGTTCATATCTGTTGAAGAACAATCAAATGTGCTTTACGGATTCATAAATGATTTAATGTATCTTTTTGCCAGTTTGGCAATGACAAAAATGACGAATGTCAAGGCTTCATCGCTCGCTTATTTCACAATTGGCAAATGATATGATAATAATAATCTGCCGGCAAAGCATTGGAAAGGCGTGAAACAAATATTGCACAGATAACGTATTTAGTTTTCTTTATTTTATGTTCAAAGTACATAAATAAATTCAAAACACATTAATGAATAAATTATCGGCAAATTGGGTAGTTTCCAGGGTATCAAAATTAAAAATCGAATTAGTCCGTCAGTTAGATAGTGAAAAAATATTAGACACGTATTTTTTTATTTTCTCGTATTAAGTTGCAATACTTATATAAAATGGCGCTAAGTTTAGGAGTGGGAGTTTACAAAATGTTAACCTTTTTTCTGCAATTTTACTTTGCCAGAAACACTAACAAGATGCACGCTCAACCTCTTACGAGTTAACTATACAATTTTAAGTGTTAAATCGTAAGGTGTGTAGCGTGCATAACATTAAAAATGGTGGGAAAATGTTCGCTGAATCGCGTATTGTCGAAATATAGGCCTAGATTAAATAAACCAGATTTAAAACCTACTACATTTTTAAAATCCTGTAGACAAAAGAATTCCGTGCCACTGTTCAAACTTCCGACTTTTTGTTAATCCAATGTACAATTTTATTACATGCATTTACATCGTTATAATTTCTATACAAATACTGCACACAGTGTATATTTTGAACTATGCGATCATACTCTGATTAACTTGTGCAATTACCAAGGCGTCATGTAATATATTTTAATGAACCAGCTCGGCAGTATCATTTTTCTCCCACTAGATTGGTTCCAGTATGTACTAAAGCAATTGTAGTAATTAGTACTAGTATTGAATAAATTCTGTTTAAAGCAAAAGCAAACAATTTCTTGAAAATCAAATATTCCCTACAAGCATTACGTACTAGTAGTTCTTGGCTACCAAATCCTATAAACAGAGGAGGAGGAACAGAGACTTCGTAAGTTCACCTCCGTAAGAAAATAATTATACATCTGAGATAATTGGGATAATGACAGGGTATGTAAATTAAAAATCAAATTAGTCCAAAGTTAGGTAATGAACAATTATTAGGCACGTATTTTATTTTGTCGTATAATAAAATAAAACTTAGATAAAACGAATCAAAGTTTAGGAGTGGGGGTTAAAACGTCATTTCTACGTATGAAATGTACATAGAAGTGACGTCAAGCGACATTTCAAATCAATATATCGTCCGAAAGTATTCGTTTCTGTAAGAAAATAAAAAATACGTGTCTAATGATTTAAAATAATCTACCAATCGGACATTAAAATAAAAATAGGTGTTTAAATAATCTGAGAAAGTAGAAATAACTCGGAAGAAGTCACGTTGGCACTGGCCGTGGTACCGTTGATAGGTTTCGATTAAGACACCCGTATCCTCATGCATGAGAAATGAACGTCTTAAACCTCCGGGGCACCACGACACTATGATATATTATGACCATTATTCCTTTAATATCTTACTTACCAGTCACAATTCCTTTCTGCAGTCTATAAGTAGCTATATCTAGATTGGGCCTGATTTTGTTCAGTCTTTCCCTCAGCGCGTCGGCTTGCGATTGAATATTATCGTAGGGCGCCAATTCAATCGCCTTCAACCATAACGTCCGCTCTGATTCGTGAAACGTTGCCATTTTGTAACACACGCCATTGTCCCAAGCTGGAATGAAAAACAAACGTTTATAGACTCTGCCAAAGGGTATAGAAGAAGCAGTCTTCCACAGTTCAGTCTTCAAAAAAGCATGCATTTATCATTACCGTACTCTTCCCGCGGGTATGAAAGAGAGAGAGGGTCTGTTTATGTTGAAGGAGTACTTCTAAATAAGTACATAACAATTATAGTTGAACGTAATCAAAATTTAAAAAAAGAAACTACGTTTAAAAAACCTACTTTAGAAACCACTAACTAAAAATCCAAAAACAAATAATTGTTTTTGGTTTAGTTTCATTCATTGTATTGAATACTTAGATCTACCTACAACACCTACTGAAAGTTAAGAAGTCGGTGCCCCAAGTCCTAAACAAAACTGTTTACGTAAATTTAGGAAGGTAGTATTGGTAACTAATGGGCTTAGGACTGAATCGGACCATGTTTCGATATCCCTAGTCCTTTTCAATCATCGGCAATCGGCGAAGACAATCGGCGAAGCGTCACCGAAGCATGATAGATGGATGTCCCACCCACACGCACGAAGCGCTTAGCATCAAGCTTAGTAGTGCTATGGAGTGGGATTCTTTGTCAGAGTCTATTTCCTGAAGGGTATAACCTAGGTGTTTTCAAGGCCCGAATGAATAGGTTGCTTATGGAACGACGTTTACCATCGTAGACTGCATCATCGCTTACCACCAGGCGAGATAGTGGTCAAACGTTGGCCCATTAAATCCTTACTAATATTATAAATCGGAAAGTGAGTTTGTTTGTTTGCTCCGTTTTGACGCCGTAACTACTAAACCGATTGCTTTGAATTTTTGCAGACGTAAAGTTGGAAGTCCAGATTAAATAATAGGGTACTTTTTATCCCGGAAAAAATTGATATACCCGAGGGAAAACAAAAGTATTGGTATAGATGGCGCTGTGTGTATTGGTATATGTCACATAGGCTACTTTTTACCCATTTGTGACGCGAGCGAAGTCGCGGGTAAAAGCTAGTATAAAATAAAGAAAAAAATATCAATCCCGTCCATTTCAAAGCCCTGAACTACTTGGTCCTATCAGTCTGGTAACGAAAACATTCCAATAATGGTCTTAATGGGTGGAACTCTTTAGTGTTTGTCTACTCAAAAGCCTGAATTTATGTTTGTATGCATGCAGTCATGTCTATTAGTTAATTCCTTATTTACGTCTGGAACACTTCATGAATTTTACATGGAAAAATGTAAAGAAGGCAATATTTTTGGGACTATTTATGTAAATTATAGAGCAACTGTTTGCGTGAATATCAATGCCAATGTTTAAATTAGAATATTCGGGAAACAATATTTCCGCTTTTTATATTGTATCTACAGTCCATAAATAGTGGTGTCAGATTTGTAAGTAAAATGACTGCGATAAATGACGTACTTACTAACTCTACCAGCCAAAACACATCAAGTATCTATAACGAAAATATGCTTTTATTTATTTTGGGATAATTGTCAACATGAATACCCCAACCCATCGTACTCTCTAAGTAATAACTAAACTAATTTAACCTGTCGAGCGTCCGCGTTCCTTATAATCCAACGGGTGCACACGTGACATTTGGAGAAAGAAAGAAAGAAAATGCATTTATTTGGCCATTGGCACACGAAAACAAGGATCATTACTATAGAAATAAAACAAATACAGTCAAAATAAAAACAAAACATTAATAATCCTTACTATATAATATTATAAATCTGAAAGTGAGTTTGTTTGTTTGTTTGTTTGTTCCACCTTCACGCCGTAACTACTCAACCGATAGCTTTGAATTTTTGCAGACGTAAAGTTAGAAGTCCGGATTAAATAATAGGGTACTTTATAACCCGGAAAAAATTGATATTCCCGAGGAAAAACAAAAGTATTGGTATAGATGGCGCTGTGTGTATTGGTATATGTCACTTTAGGCTACTTTTTATTCTTTTGTGACGCGAGCGAAGCCGCGGGTAAAAGCTAGTAGACTTTATAAAAGAGAAAGCAGCATTGAGCATTTTTCTTATGATCCACCGGGTGCTCATAAGGACGCTCGAGGGGTTAATTAACTCGTCGAGTACCGGTTTTATAGACACAATTAAAGAACAATAGGTCGCGGTCACCGGTGACCGCTTGGTGTTTGACAGTTTAAGAGAAAATCATCAATTTGGTATTTAGTATTTTTGGTCTTAATGTTAATTTAAATTGTAACTGTCTGTATTAACCCAGCATCTAGAAAATTATATTTAAACTCTTCGATAAATGATTCTCTCTTATTTTTGTTTCTGACACATTCCATACTAAGGTTTTATAGTCAAATGCTCAAAAGGATACTTTTCTAAAAGCCGGGGTAACAATAAAATGGAACATAAAAACGACTGCGAACCCTTTTCGCTTTATCATCACAATAGCCTGCCTCAGATTCTTTATTCTCGCAATATCGATCATTATTTTAGAGTTTCCGAGTACCTTTAGAAAGCAATAAATGTGTGAAAATGATGAATCTTCGAACTGGTACGATATGACTTCTTCTTCATGAATCCTACATCTTTTACGCCATTTTACCTATTGGTCCAAATGGCTAGTTCTAACGATACGTACAAATCTTATTTTTGAACCGACTTCATGTTGGCATGGTTTCAGAAAAGGTCCAAAAAATATATATCTACTTTTGCAATTTATTATTTACTAGCTTTTACCCGCGGCTTAGCTCGCGTCACAAAAAGATAAAAAGTAGCTTGTGACATATACCAATACACACAGCACCATCTATACCAATACTTTTGTTTTTCCTCGGGAATATCAATTATTTAATCCGGACTTCTAACTTTACATCTGCAAAAATCCAAAGCAATCGGTTTAGTAGTTACGGCGTGAAAGCGGAACAAACAAACAAACAAACAATCTCACTTTCCGATTTATAATATTAGTAAGGATTTCGTTTTATGTTTGCAAAAGTGACTTATGCTAGGTGTCCAGAAAGTCCAGATAGAGTTGACTGTAGAAATTCTCACTCCTGTCTAAATTGATACAGAAGGCAGTTCTCCTTGAAACGGCGCGAATCGTGAGGAGGTTTCTGTATCTGGAGCCCTAAACACCGGTAGCTTAGACCATGCTACTGGTCGGCTCCAACTTTTATATTTATAAATATTATTTTTAACCGACTTCAAAAAGGAGGAGGTTTTCAATTTGACCGTACATATGCTTTTTTCTGATCTTTTTTGTAACTTTAGACAATTTTAGATAAATGAATGTATATAGAACTTATAAAATACTTACTGATCTGAAAGGGCCAATGTCCATTTTCGTCTTGAGATTGTACCTTGATCTTATGATGTCCTAGTACTATGACTCCCATGGGTTCATACCATGGTTCTGGTCCTTTTAAGTAGAAGAGCAGATTACCTCGGAGACGAAACCACCGGACTGAGCAACCTGAAACCCAATAGACCAACGAGTTACCACTGAGTAACAGTACTTATATTTTATATCCTCTCCTAAAACTTACTAAAAAATAATTATACCTAAATATATTTAGACATAACGATTAGTATTCAATAACTTAACCTTGAGAAAGGTTCAACCACTATCTAAACACACTTACAAATCTAATCTATTAAGTTCTATTAACGATAAGTTACAAATCGAAGCCATAAAAGTATGATTATATTGGCTATGAGTCACCATGTTAAGAGCAAGTGCACAACAATAGGTACTTCTTTAGATAACCTTATGAAGTAAAGGCCACACAGCTGGGAAACGTGCGGGCCATGGATGGAAACTACATAGTAATCTACTTGGTGGTGTAACATATTGGTACTAAATTCCGGTATCGCGTGTTTAGTTTCGCCCTAATACCTAGGTATTTCTAGACTTTACGAGTTTTGACGAATTTTTCAATGTGTATGTGTAGTGTAACTCCTAAGAATAATGAATATATCGAAAATTATCTATTTATAGTTGTTATGGCGACATAACTAATTAAGTGCCTTTTTATCGGGCTGATTGATGCAAATCGAAAACTATGGAAACAATGAAATTCGTATAAATCAAACCCACAAGGTGAGAATAGCATCGCTAGTACCATACATAGGGAAACTCATGTATTAATGTGAACTGATTTCTCCTCAATGTGAGAAGTTCGAACGATGTTCGATGAAGAAAATCGAAGTTAGTCCGATTTGCTTGTTGGCCAGTTGGCGATGAGACCTATACTTATTAGTAAAATAGTAATGTATTGTTCGCACAATGACGTCAAACACTAAAGCGTGACGCTAAATCATACTGATGAGACTCATTCAGTCAATAGTGCCCTTTTCTGAACAGGTTATTCTTACATAGGTATACGTTCCCTTCGCGTCCGTTTGTCTGTCTGTAAAAACTTTAAAAGTAGCGAACAGATTTCTGTACAGTTTTAGCCAATAGATAGTGTAATTCCTGAGAAAGATGTACCTATGATTTTTATGGTATGTTTGTTTGTATTAACATAACATAACATCACGCCTTTTATCCCCGAAGGGGTAGGCAGAGGTGCACATAGAAGTAACACCCACTTTTCACTATTTATGTTATGAGTCCCATGTAATAGGGGGTGAGCCTATTGCCATATACCGGGCACATTTCCAGACTCCGTGCTACTACTGAGATTTTTAAAAAACCCCAGTAATACTTTGCCCGACCCAGGAATCGAACCCGAGACCCCTTGCCCGGCAGTCGCACTTGCGACCACTCGGCCAATGAGGCAGGCCAATGAGATTGTTTGTATTAATGTATGTAAATACATATTATAATAAAATAAAGAAAATATGTTAATGTTTAATGAAAACAACATTTCTTATGTTATAATATAATAAGTATTGATAGTAGTTTAATTAGATTATATTTTGCTCCATATGTTGCCGTGCCCTAGCCGGGTTTCATGTTGAAACTGTACCTCATGTAACACCAATTGTACACATGATATGCAATAAAAGAATTTGAATTTGAATTTAATCATAATTTGAAGAATAATAAAAATACATAACCTAGGTAAGAATTTGTTTTTCTCTCTAATAAGTCTAAATCAAAGCTGAGTGCGCAACACAGCGCGCAGCGTGCAAACAGGATATAATAATATCGTCATATATAATACGTAGTGGCTAATTACCTCTTTTCCGCTGGATATTATGACCGATAAAATATAGGAATACTTATCATTCTCATAATATTATGGCTACAAAAGTTGTTTAGTTGTGGAACACCGACCATGTTTAAGATAGTTTGTCTATTTAATCGTCTTTTTTACAAATAATATATGAGCAAAAATTTTTATGAAACGTTTGGTTTTTTCTCCTGTGTTGTGGATGCGTTACAATCATACAATATCAGATACACCAGCCAATCTCTACAGGTTTGACTTTCTAGTTTTTCGAGTGGTCACCAACACGACTGCCAAATAAAATTCTCTGGTTTGATTACCGACGCTTGTCATCCTCATTTATATTATGGCCGCAAACATGTCTAGCTGTGTAACACCAACCACGTAGTTTAGTTAACTATTATTTAATCATAATATAGGAGCTACACACTGACACAATATCTATTATAGGAGACACAAAATACAATAGACTGAACTAAGATTCTTATCATCTCCGTTGTCATTATTGAATAGGTCTATCTGTGCAAGTTTACCAAGACTCATGTAAAATATGCACCATGATATTCTTAGCACGACCTAGATAAGAACAAAAGAGTTGAGGTCGCCGTTTCATAGTACCTCTACTAAGATATTAATTCAGGCCGGACTCTAAGCAGACCATCGGAGATGTATCTTCATTGACGCTCGCTCTTTCTTTAAGAATAAGAATAAGAATAAGAACGTTTATTTGCACGAAGTATGGTAATTACAGGTAGTAATAATTATAAAAAATAGTCCCACATACATCGCCTACTGTTTTCGGCATGCAAAGTTAAGTTTTACAATATAATAAAGTTAATTTCTTACATTCAATAAAACCAATTACAAAAATGCTTACAACTAGGATAACATAATTATTTCTCCTAACATATTATTATTACTTTTCTTCTTTATTCACATATTTATCATATCATATTAGTGACTTACTAAATCACAACACACTTAATATTGCACACTTAGTATGTATTGCACACATTAAACTTTCATTGTAAGAAACTCATCTAAGGTGTAAAAGCAACTCTCTCTCCAGCTTGTCTCTTCTTAGAAAGATTTGAACTGTGTTTGTTTCATAAGTGATGAAATTTGAAGCTTCTGGTCACAAAGTCATTTTAGTAAGGGTATGCAAAGAAGGTACCAACCATTTCGAATCATAGGTAAGAGCCTAAAACCTGTACCTAACATGATTTTGTGTAATTTTTGGAGACTATTAGTGTATACGGCCATAATTTTTAGATGAAGTTTACGATCCTAGAGAACCTGGTGATCTAGAGACTGTATACAATTCATTTTTGGTGTTGAATTCAGTGTAGGTACTAATATTATAACCACTAAAACGCGTGCAAAAACACGAATAGGTTACTACGAACGCAATAACGCGTGTTTTGGATATTTCGTTGTTATTTATAGGGTTCGCGCCCCGGGCGGTTTCATCTTCCACCCCCAAAGATATGTGATATTACTTTCGCGTCATTTATATCAACTAGCGCTCAAGGCGCGGCGCGTCGCGATCCACGCTCGCCTCAAAGAGCCATCAGACCACGGAGCCGCGGAGGACATAACGGGTTGCTGGGCCTCCGGTTCAAAGAGCAAAAGTGGGGTGGTTTTTAGGCTGACACCTCTCGCCTCACCCAAGGCTGGAAAAGTCATTGGATTATTTTTCCCCTCAAGAAAATAAATAAAAAAGCGCTCAAGGAGCAACTCCCTCCTACGCGACCACCCCTAAAAACATATTAACCTTTTGACCGCCAAAGTCGTATATAGACGACAAACGACATGCCAAAATGTGGACAGCATGCCAGTCTCAAGTCTTTAGTTGAAGATTTATTACTTCTTTTACTAATTATGTTCCTTGACTCAATCTTATTAACATTAGATGACGTTTTTCTTTATAATTTGTCTATATTTTCATAAGATGATGATAAGTTTAGCTTCTGTGGAAACGCAGCGTAACACTGAGAGCACGTCTTTGCTTTTTCGACGTGGCGGACAAAAGGTTAAACTACGAAATAAGTTTTATATATTATTTTTTTTATATTTGATGGGCCGACGTTTGAAGGTATAGGTATTTAGGTAGTTTCGCATGTTTCGATAGGCGTTTATTTTTCCTCCAACACAAGTGATATAACTACGTAGACGGCTAGAAAACCAAACACGTATTTATACAAACACGACGTCAATAATGATAAGTATCTACTCATATTTCTTCACTAAACAAACCACTTTATTATGTAAGTACATAAATGTATATATTTATTTATTATGATATTTAAATGTATGTATGGAGTCGATTTATTCAGCTTAGATCACATTCAAGTACCTATTATAAGATTTTGAAAATCATGACGGTCTCAACTAAATCTGGTTTAACAAATAACAAGAAACACAAATGTTTATGTATTATTGGAAAGAAACATTATTGTAGAGTTAACAATAAGAAAACAACTTAAAAAATGTCCTTTGCTTTTTTTATGGTAGGTAATAGGTATAAGCCGGTAAACGAGCAGATAGATCACCTGATGATAAGACATTGACACCCAGAACAGCAGAGGCGTTACAAGTGCCTTACTGGCCTTTTGGGGTTTTCTGTGAGCCGCGGTATCACTCCGGTCGAGCCGGCCCATTCGTGCCGATGCATGGCTCTCCTACACTTAAAAAGGCTTTTGAAAAGGCTACCTAACAATTTTTAAAGAGCACATTATAATCTGTATGTACCCAGATGGCATGACTCTTTGAGTATGTAGAACCATAACTAATATAGAAAAGATGTTATTACTAAAGAATTTTGCAAGATTTTTTCGCATTAGTAAATGAGAATTAGACATAAAAATAACATCACGCCTTTTATCCCCGATGGGGTAGACAGAGGTGCACATTACGGCACTTAATGCCAACTGTACAAATTACAATGTAACACCCACTTTTCACTATTTATGTTACGAGTCCCATATAATAGGGGGCGAGCCTATCACCATATATGGAGCACATTTCAGACTCCGTGCTACTACTAAGAATTCTTATAAAATCCAGTAATCCTTTGCCCGACTGGGAATCAAAACCGAGACCCCTTGCCGGGCAGCCGCACTCGACAAACGAGGCAGTCTGATTTGGGAGGCAACGGCAAAAACTAATGTTGGTGTCATAAAGTATACACATGTTTTGAATATATTAAGTGTAACATCCGTTATTTTATGAGGACACCTGACCTTCAATAAAATCATAAATTATATTTTGCTGTATAATTTCAATTATGTAGCATACTGTGTTCACTACTGAAATAGTGTATGTTACACAGATTTTATACAAAAACTACTAAACTCTAACAAAATTGAGCTTGATTTAAATAAAAATCGTGGGTTACTCTCGTAAATATACTGAGAAAAGCACTACTAGTTTTGAACCATAGAGACTAGAGTGAGTAACCTGCGATTTTTTAGTTAATTTAGTATGTCCCACGATAGTTATTATAAAAACATGAGCTTGATTTGGTACAAAAATAAATTTTAGTCTGGATATTTCCAGACAACGATCATATAGGCTACTTTTCAGTATTAGAGCTTGGCATAAAGTTACATTAAAAAAAAGACACATTGTTATCTCTATGGCCCTATTTGTTTAAGAATAAAATAAACAGTATACTTTACACATCTGTGGACTTTAAAATATGTTGTTTATGCAATAGAAATAAAACAGATGTTCACATCAAGGCTTGATTCTCACAGATAAGCATCCAGCTAGAGATTACTGACTGACTGACAACTGACTTACAAATTGTTATAAATGGTTGTTATGATAAAAAAAATGGCGCCTTTTAACTCCGAAGGGATAGGCAGGATAGGCACTTAACCCGTATTTCCCCAAGCAGTCACTGGTGACCACTCTACACTAAGTACATTTTAGACCTTATTTTCAATGTTTAGAGACTACTTTTGTATGAACAAATTTAGGGGATGATTTCCAAAAATTTTAACGGTTTAATGCCACTGTACACTTTCACACCCAGTTTTCTCTATTTATATTATGAGTCCCATGTATTAGGGGGTGAGCCTATTGCCATATACCAGGCACAATTCTAGGCTCCGTGCTACCAGTGAGAATTTTTTTAAAACCCATCTGTACTTTGCCCGACCTGGGAATCGAACCTGAGACCCCTTACCTGGCAGTCACACTTATGATAGTAGGTAAATATTAATATTTATATGAAAAGTTAATTGTTGATGAAAGAGCTACCTATGTAAGAATATCTATAGATGAAAAAATAAAAAATTGTAGCAACAAGAGTCAAAAGACTGGCAAAGGGTACTTTTTAACTTATACTTTGTAACTGTACTTTTTCGACGAATACACATAAATCATTGTAATTGAAAAACTAGGTATATGACTTAGATTTTTTTTATTTAATATAACTGTTGGAACCTCACCAATCACCTGGTCCCTTTTGATTGTCGACTTAATATCGACGTGTAGAGCGGAAAATTACCCATTGAGTGCACTTCGTACAATAACATTACACATAGTCACATATCACAAAAACATCAAACACAATCTCAGAGATAAGGGCAACAAAGATTGTGTTTGAAGTTTCCTGTGTTTACCAGTTGTAGGTATATTTCCCTATTATTCTATACTCATAAGAATTAATTCAATAGTTTTGTGGTATATGAACTCACCCTCTGATCTTCTGAAAAATCCATCCTGTCTCTCTTTAAGTACCAATACGCCTTCCCGGTCGAAATTCTGAGATGTCTGAGATGCCAATGCAGCCAATTCTTGTTTATTATATCTCATATTTATGATATTACTACAAAAGTATCATTTCAAAATTAAAAACCACTAAAAACTGCAAGGTGGCAAGGGGAATACTGAGGGATATAAATTTATTATAACCAAAGTAAGCGCCTTAGAGGCTCACTGATATTATTAATATTTTTCACAGATAATTTTACGGCATTTTGTCAGCATATTATTCATAATTTAAACAAAAATAGAGTTACTGAAATTTTGTCCCTAATTTATGTGGTCCAAGATACAGACACTAGACTAGACAGTATACTACAGATAACACAAAAGTGGACATAAAGGTCTTGTGTGACATTGACATTTGACATTCAGTTACGTTTTGTTGCTCGTTATGGTGACTGCCAAATCAAAATGTTATATTTCAGGCCTACTGTCCACGATAGGCGGATTTAACGTTGCCGCTTCATGGACAGTTTTCATTGTCTCTTAGCAAGATGCAAGTCTTTCTAAGACGCCTATTTGCATACATTCGTTAAATGACGCGAAGTAGAGACCCCAGTTGGATAAATAACTTAGGCCTCCTTAAGCCTTATACTTGTTGCCTTATACCTCTAGTTGAGCAAAATCAAGGACGTTGAAAAAAGCTTTATTCAATGTCCTTGGGCAAAATAATGTTTTTTCTTTTCTATGGGAATGTAGTGGGGTTATGGCAGGCGATAGTAAAAATACTTTCAGTTGAAGAGTTTTCTGGCCACAAACTTACAATAGATAAGAAGATCGAACATTAACTCCTAGTTATACGTAATTGATATCCATTATTCTTTGTCCTTATTCTGTCGAGCACCAACCTAATAATGGCGTCTCGTTCCTTTTGCAATTTTTTTATGAAAGTAATAACTATTGCTGCAAGTGGTTAGTTCTAACGATATGTACCATTTTTATCGTTGGCCGGGTTATTAGAAATGAAGGACATTATTAGGTACCTACTTTTTGTGAAGCCCAAAAAAAACACACATGCGCAATTTGTAGTTTAAGCGAGGCCGAACTAAGGTCCACATTAGGAATGAAGGACATTATTAGGTACCTTCATAGAGATAAACATGTTTATGGGTTAAATAGTTAATATTTATAAATACTGAATAAACATCGATTTTTACAATATATTTTATGTATGTGTTATAGGAAATGTATGAGGATCCTATGATATATATTTCCGAAACTAAGTATTAAGGAACTGAAAAAAATAGTTTTTAAAATTATTTATTTTTATTATTATAATATCCTCGTAATATAGAAAATGTATAAAATATTGAAACATGTTGAAGGGAAAGTAATAATTTTTATTAAGGCAATGTTATCATTAAGAATAGCAGGTAATAGTCATCTCCTTCCCCTCAATCACACTGACCGCTCCCAAGACAAGTTCTTTCCTTGTCCTGTCCTGTTAAATTTTGTTATAGTCTACAACAACGTAAATTAAATTTACCGGTGAAAGATTATTCCAGGTGTTTCTTATAACTGTTGCTGTCACATCGGTACGCACTGCATTTCACCATTTTTTGGCTTCACAAATTTCAGCTAATGTTCGGTCTGCTCATCTATTTTTAGTCTGTGTTTCTGGCAAATAAGTGGTGGTGGTGTCACGGTTTCAATTTATTTATTACAAGTAATAAATAAATAAGGAGTATATTGTAGTGTTTATACAGTACAGCTCACTATTTTATTACAAAATGATTAATTTATAAATGCCTATTTGTAAAAATAACTGTAGTGTTAGCAGTATTTGTGTAGTCGAATTTCCAGTGAATATGTGCATTTGTCGAGTTTTTATTTACGAAGTCGTATAATTTACACTAAAGCTTTTCAATTAATCTAAAAAATGGATATTTACAATTAAGTCTATGTATATTTACATTAAAATTTAATGCAACCAAAATTCATAGATATCACATGGATATTATTATTGAAATCCAAGTATGGCCAGCTTTATGAAGTTGCAATTGTCAGGAATGGGATCTTTATATGTCACGTGACACATTCATGATCATAGAGAAGTCGTCTTTTTTACCTCTCCACGCCCGGCGGTAGCTTGTGCCCTTACTGATATTTATTTTGTGATTTAAAGTTAATTACTGAAAAATGGACACAAGAAAGCTAACAGAGATTTTGCGTGGAACAATCGATCCTGTTCAGAGGCTGGCGGCAGAAGAACAGCTTTCCCAGGTGAGGTTTATTATACACCCATCTATCAACCACATGCTCATGAAATTTAGCGCGACCATATTGCATATCTCGTTGAAGTTGGGCGGGTCTATTGTTGGAAGTACTTCTTAATTTTGTCGTGTTATGACATGCCGCGCTGGTATCAAGGAGCACCATGTTTTAGCTTAAGTTATGGATTTTTAGTTTTATTTGTTTTAACTACTCTCCGTAGGCCACTATAGATGTAATATTACTAGTACCTACATTGCCTCTATGCTATCTGACCAAGACTTGGGGGCATGGGACAAGAAGTTCTAACCAAAATTATACAGCTCATAAAGATCAAGAAGATATAAATAGATCCCATAATAATTGTAGTTTTCGACACTTTGGCGCAATTTCCTCGTAATTTACTGATGCTACAATTAATAACCTTTTCTTTGTCTAGGAATAAATAATCCTAAATAATCTAATAATCGATTTACTGTCATTGTATCGAAAGAAAAAGTAAATTGAGACTAGGCATTTTCCCGCTATTATTGTTACATTGTTAGTCGACATGTTGTTAGAATGATATAGGTATGTTGTTGCTATAAATGAGATGCTTCCTGTAGGGTAGTGTCAGTGAATGACATGCAATTGCAGTAGGGTACAATAATTTGCTCTGGATTGAGAACCAATTCAATCTGAGGTATTACATATTGTAGTACAATAGGTTAACCTTCAAGTTTCTAGAAATGAGTTTATTTTCAGATCCACAAGATTATCGGATTTGCGCCTTCATTATTGCAAGTTGTTATGCAAAATGATGTTCCCATACCAGTAAGACAAGCTGGTGCAGTATACCTAAAGAATCTAATTAATTCAGGATGGCAGGAGAAGGAGCCAGAAAATGGCGAACCTATTCCATTTAACATCCATGAGCAAGACCGCTGCATGGTCCGGGACCTTATTGTAGATGCCATTATACAGGCACCAGATATAATAAGAGTTCAATTGTGTGTCTGTCTTAAAACAATCATCAAACATGATTTCCCTGCTCGGTGGACTCAGATTGTTGATAAGGTCAGCATATACTTGCAAAGCCCAGAACCGAACACATGGATGGGAGCTCTGCTGTCTTTATACCAGCTAATCAAAAATTATGAATACTGCATTGCTGAAAAGAGAATTCCACTTAATGAAGCAATGAATCTGCTTCTGCCTATGATGTACAACTTGATTGTGAATCTCCAAGGCGATCCTTCTGCAGAATCTGTCCTGATACAGAAGCAAATACTCAAATGTTTCTATGGCCTAATAAAGGTAATATATTATCTATTTACTTGACTATTTATTTAACATAAGAGTACATACAGACATCAATTAAATACATTATTTCCCTTGCAGTACATTTTGCCTTTAGACCTAATCACAAAGGATATATTTACCAAGTGGATGGAGGTGTTACGAGTGGTGATGGAACAACCTGTACCAGAGTCTACTTTGCAAGTCGATGAGGATGAACGTATGGAACTTCCATGGTGGAAGTGTAAAAAGTGGGCGGTGCACACCTTATACAGATTGTTTGAACGGTAATCTGAACTTATGAGCTTAAATTGTAATATGAGCTCAGTGTAACAATGGACAATAACTTTAAAACTTTGTAAACTAGGTATGGCAGTCCAGTAAATGCACGTGAAGAGTATGTACAGTTTGCTGAGTGGTACCTTACTACCTTCACTCGTGGAATCTTGGAAGTCCTGTTGAGAGTATTAGACCAGTACAGAAACAAAGTGTATATTTCACCGAGGGTTCTTCAACAGACAATCAGCTACATTGACCAATGGTGAGAATGTTTCTTTTAATAGCTTCAGATCATTGTATTTAACTTGTAGTTTCTTACAATATGACTGCATGGTCGGCATGATGGCTGGGCATCCGGCAGCCGTGCAACGTGTAGCGGGTTCGATTCCTGCACGGAGTAACTATTATTGTGATCTACAAACTGTTGTTTCAGGTCTGAGTGTAAGTGTATGTGAACTTGAATGTTTGTAAAGCACCCAACACTGGAGAAAATCCTTTAAAAAAACCTAAGATTTTGTGAAACTGGTTTTAAACTTTCCTCATCTTGCAGTGTAACCCACGCACATTCCTGGAAGCTCTTGAAGCCCCATATGTTTGCGATCATACAAGATGTGCTGTTCTCTCTCATGTCATACTCCGAAGCTGATGAAGAATTGTGGAAAACTGATCCCCATGAATACATAAGAATAAAGTTTGGTAAGTTCTCACCACTCATCATTATATCAAGAAATAATACAAACTTACTCAAAGCTGGTTGGCTTGATTACCAGTTAAATAATGATCATACCATATTCACAACTCTGATTTTTCGTACTTAGTTTGTCTATTTCGTTTGTACTACTGTAGGTGCAGTCTGCCCAGTTAGTTGATACTCTTTCAGTCTGTCTGTCTGGTGGTATGGTAGGTGATAGGACAGAAGATGGTTGAATCAATACTTTGAAGAATTTCCCATATCTATTCACCTCTTTTGCCTCGCCTCTATTCGCCTCTCGATCCCTATCCACCCCACTTTGTGGCATACCAGAGATGGCATAGCCATCTAGCCATTTATTCTTTTGAACTTGATGGACAACTAACTATTGGCTACAGTGAGTGAATTGCATAAAAATACTTAATGTGCATTTGGTAGAAGTTAAAACGTTATGTTGTGTATAGTTTACATTATGCGATAGAGGGCTAAAACCACCTAGCTCTGTAATTTAGTAAAGTTCCATAACATCGAGTTTGTAATAAAATGGTAAATTTTTATCATTAGGTATAGTTTGTAGTACGAGCTGTAAATTGCAAAACACTTACGAATTTATTAAATCACTTTTTTTTTGTTACTAATTTTATCATTTTTTATTATATTTCTCTGGTATGTCCAAAACAAAGAAATTATTTTTCAATATCCACTGTTTCATTAACCGATTTATGATGTTTCGTTATTTCTAGACATATTTGAAGACTTTGTGTCGCCTGTCACTGCCGCTCAAACACTGCTGACATCTTGCTGCAAAAAGCGCAAAGATATGCTGGGACGCACTATGCAACTGTGCATGCAAGTGCTGACCAATCAAAATTGCGAGTATGGACCTCGACAGCGTGATGGTGCCTTGCACATGGTTGGCACGCTCAATGATATCCTCATCAAGAAAAAGATGTATAAAGATGAAATTGACTCTCTTCTGAGCCAGTATGTTTTTCCCGAGTTCCACAGTCCTCTCGGCTACATGCGTGCCAGGGCCTGCTGGGTTCTGCACAGTTTTGGCAATATCCGTTTTAAGAATGATCAGTTGCTTCTCGAGGCCATCCGATTAATCGTTACGGCTCTTCTCAACGACCACGAATTACCCGTAAAGGTTGAAGCAGCAGTTGCTATTCAGATGCTACTGTGTTCGCAAGAGAAAGCTCACAAATATTTAGAGCCTCAAGTGAAGGCCGTGACATCCGAGTTACTGAAGCTAATTCGGGAGACTGAAAATGACAACATAGCGATTGTACTGCAAAAGATAGTACCCTTGTACACTGAGCAGTTGATCGACATGGCCTACGAGATCACCGAGCATTTGGCGACGACATTTAGCAAAGTAATTGAGACAGACTTAGGAACCGATGAGAAAGCTATTACTGCTATGGGTCTGCTCAACACCATGGAGACAGTCCTCACTGTAATGGAAGATAATCCAGAAATTATGGCTCAGCTGGAGAAGACAGTGCTTCGTGTGGTTGGACACATACTGCATCACAACATTATTGGTGAGTGCATAAATTGAAACGACCGTGGTATCAATAAAGCAATGCAACCGGTAACTGCTACTCATAAATACTTCCGTCGCGTTGCACATTGGGACCTAAGTGAAAATGAATTTTAGTGTTATGATTTTATTATTCCCGATATAAATTTAGACTTCGAAAGAATATTTTTAACTTTAAAATTGCATCTTAGATTGACATCACCGTTTTGCATGAAACACCTATTCTTAAATAATTCATGATTACTCAATAGTAACGGGAAATCTATCTTTGTCTGTTTTATAGTCATTGTAAATAGGTTTTGGCACCAGAATGTATAATTTACTAGATTGAAGAAGGTGATATGAAATTCTAAGTATAGTGACTACCTTTGTTATTACAATTCATGTTAGTGTCTTTAATGTGATGTGCTCTTTACATAAACATATTCAAATAGAGTTGAATCCATTAAGAGTTGTACTCACAATATTATCGATCTGTAGCGGAAGTGATAAAACTAGGTAATATATTCAAGGATTTAGTTAAATTTTTTAAATTATCAAATAAAAACTACGGTTTAATGCGAAGTTCATTAAAAACTTTCTAATACACACCTTGAATTCAACAGAATATTACGAAGAAGCCATGACTCTGCTCTGCAATTTGACGTCTCGGAACATTTCGGAGGACATGTGGAAGGTTCTGGAGATGCTGTATCAAGTTTTTGAAAAAGAAGGATTCGACTACTTCACTGATATGATGCCAGTACTGCATAACTACATCACCGTCGATACAAACGCCTTCTTGTCTAATGAGAACCATATCCTCGCGATGTTCAATATGGTTAAAGGAGTAAGTATTTGTTTATTACCTAATTCGAATTAAAGTATTGTATTATACCTGTGTGGTTAAGGTTATCAGAAGTCTAATCCTCTCCTCCATCCCAAATCCCCAGTTAGTCCCTGGCCCCGAAATGGCCGGCAAGGCAATTTTAACTGTACTAGTGTTGTGAGTGTCCATGGGCTTGTCGATTGCTTACCATCAGGTGATCCGTCTGCTTGTTTGCCCTGTTCAGTAAAAAAAAAACAAAGGGTTTGCTTAAAAGAATCAAATGTATTATTATGTTTTTCAGATTACGTAATTATTTAACGAGGAACTCGACTAACTAGTCGGTTGTATTCTAGCATGGCTTGAAACTTCAAGCCATGCTAGAATGCTGCTTTTAAATACGAGCCTCTAGCATGACTTGAAACTATTCGAGTTCCTCGTCAAATAATTACTTGAGTAAGCCGAACAACATGATAATTAATTTAATGTCTCACAAAAGTTATTATAATATAAATAAAATTAAATGCAGTTTATGAACTGAATAGTTTACAGTTGCTTTGTCTTTATTACATCGTAGTAATAATTTAGCGTTGTGCGTATGCAGCCTATAATATCTAAGCGATTGTCTTTTCCTGTTTATTGTGTTTCTTCAACAAATCTTAACTTTTTTTCAAACTCGGAAATATCGTATTTGAAATTGTTATCTTTGACTTTTAAACATTCTTTTGACGCATTTCTCATGTATGCTTAGTTATATGCTCAGTGCTTTTGTGACTTACGGGTACACCATTATTGTTAATGTCCGCATCGAGGAACCCAAGCATACGCCCAAATTATGTTTCGGGTCGATCCCCAGTTTTTATGTTTGGCAGTCCCTATTGTTACTATTCAACGAAGCAGGAAAAAAAGGAAGGAGATTTGTATCATTGCGCTTCTGCAGATTCCTTCGATTTTTTTCTTATACATTTTTATGGACTCGTTTGAATTGTGTGACATTTTCGAAGTGCGAATGTTTTGTGTCAATGAACTCGACGTCTTTACTTTATTAGAACATGGCCAATACGAGTGTTACCATAATTATCTGGATGTATGATTTCCGCTGATATCAATAAAGCGTTCAATTTGTACCAGGGCTCTCTCTATACATAATGTCTTTGGCAAAATACACTTTAATTTAAGTTGCTCAAAGTTCAAAATCGTCCTGTTACTATGATTGATTTGTATAAGGAGTCTGGCATTTGTTTTTAGTTATGTTTTATTTCAAGACAAAATACAATGGTCGTTTTCAAATTGTCGTTTACATTTAAGTAATTTAATAGAAAATAACTCGTCATAATATTTTTGGTGAAATGCCTTATTGAAAAATCCTATAAATAAAGGGCTATGACAGTGAATTTTAATACTACATAACGTAACATAATATAACATCACGCCTTTTATCCCCGAAGAGGTAGGCAGAGGTGCACATTACGGCACTTAATGCAATTGTACAATGTAACACCTACTTTTCACTATTTATGTTATGAGTCCCATGTAATAGGGGGTGAGCCTATTGCCATATGCCGGGCACAATTCCAGACTCCAACTGAGAATTTTTTTAAAACCGAATTTAGATTTTTATTAGAATTTTTTAGAACCGAAAAGAATTTTTTTGCCCGACCTGGGATTCGAACCCGAGACCCCTTGCCTGGCAGTCGCACTTGCGAACACTCTGCCAACGAGGCAGGCAATGTTAATACTAATAATATTAAAATGAAGGGTGGCTCAATTTGTGTTGAGAAGAAGTGTTTCGAAAATGAACTCTGTTGTCTCTATTTTTATCTCAATTAAATTTCATTAATGAATAATAAACAGTTGCGCATTAAATATTGCTTATACAATGGTGATAAGAACATTATTACCACTAGCGAAGGCTAATGCAAGATAAAATTAAAAATCGAAGTTGTAGCTGCTACGCGGACATCTATTATACTTGCTTCATGCAGTAAATTTTAACTAAATTATAAAAGGAATAGATCGATTTTTATTTTATTCCGTTAGTTGTACGAGAGGTGCACATTTTGAAATAAATAATTATTATTCACTTTCGTCTATTGTTATGTTACGAGTCCCGCGTAATAGAGAACGAGTCTAAACTGAGAATATTTGAAAACGAAAACAGGTTCGTTTTTTATACTAAAAGTTAATCAATTTTAGTACGAATACCAAAATTAAGACGTCTGTTTTTGCTTATATTAGCTTAGCGATTATTTGGTAGCATAGTACCTCTGGTACCGTTAATAAAATAAACGTGATCCGAGCTATTTAGCCGGCTCTAATTAAAGAAACATTAACCGCTAATCTAATATAGAGTTCATGAATTCAAATTGCGACATTAAAACTACGTGCTTCACTTTTTAAAGCAATTTCTTTATTATTTTATGAAGATAAAATAATCTAAACACCGGCTTGTGAGCAACAGTGTTTTTAGTGCTCGAGTCGATATTATAAAGTCGCGAACTATTTTTGGCAATTTAGCGACTGTTTTGACGTTCTATCTACATTTAAGCGACTATTTAGTTTGCTATCCTAAAAGATTTCCTTGTCTTTTTCTTGTGAAATTACCTTTTCTATTGACCTCTTACATAGAACAAAACTTAACAAAATAAATCATGTTGTCACCAGGTGCTGAACTCAGATGCTGAAGATGAGTCAGAGATATATGCGGCCAAACTTCTGGAAGTGATGGTCTTGCAATGTTCCGGCAAGATAGACAACTGCCTGCCCTCCTTTGTGGAGTTGGTGCTCAACCGTCTGACGAGGAAAGTCAACACTTCTGAGCTTAGGACCATGCTGCTCCAGGTAGTTATAATTTGAACAAGGATTCGCTCAGAAATGATTATTGTTAATTCTGTTTAGCGTTTTATAACTAAAATTGTGTACTTTATATTGCAGGTCCTCATTGCCATATTGTACTGCAATCCCCAACTGTTATTCACAATATTAGACAAGCTGCAGGAGTCTGTGCCCAACGCATCTATCACACAGCATTTCCTTAAGCAATGGATCCATGACACTGATTGCTTCATGGGGTAAGATAACTATTTGTATCTTAAAACCTGTGAACATACATAAACCACCTTTAAACAAGCATTATTATGTTGCGATGTCATTTTACTTCATAAAACAATATTTTAAATGCACTTTCTTATTATATAATTTGTTTTCCAGATTGCATGACAGGAAGCTGTGCGTCCTCGGAATTTGCACCCTCTTAGAAATGGGTCCCCAAAGGCCTAACCTTGATGAAATCATGCCCAAGCTCTTGCCATCATGTCTCGTGCTGTTTGATGGGCTGAAGCGAGCTTACGAAATCAGGGCAGAGGCTGATGAGGAGACATCTTCTGAAGAGGATGACGAAGAAGAAGACGAAGGTATGTTTTGTTTATACACCCTCAACTAGTACACGTCAAGTTTTCCTGAACATTTCTATTTTGCGCCATGTCTCTACCATTGTAACAAACGTTTTGCTGACATTTACAGAAGTATTGTCGAGTGACGAAGATGATCTTGACGAAATGAACAACGAGTATCTTGAGAACCTTGCCCGCATGGCTCTCAAGTCTAGCGAGCTACAGGGCGTCACCATGACCGCCAATGTCGAGGAGTATGAAGAGAGTGACGATGTGAGTCCACTTGTTAGTATGATTTGCTTTTTGCGTACTAAGTGTTTAGGCGTCAAGATTGGTCAGGCGATAACGCAGCAGGGAGAAGTTATACTGCAGCCGGGATAACAACCACACTGACAGGTAATACTTTTTTGTATTAGACTAACAAAAGGTGATACGCAGTTGAATGTGGTTGGTGTTCTGGAGGTGGATTTTTGCGTTATGTGTGAGTACCCAGTGTTTAATTACTTATTATATGTTTTCACAATTTTGATGGGATTATGGGTATAATAAATATTTACTTTTGATTGACTTACATTAGTTAAAATGTGAAATGGTTGGTCTTTAACATGCTTACGCAAACTTATCCTACTAATGGGTGATGGGATTGTGTTGTGTATGGTGTTTATCGAAATAACAATATTTTTCTATGAAAATTGAAGCAATGTCATCAGACGTCAGCTCTTAGGCCGTTTTAAGGATATTCGTTTTTGTTAAGAAGAAATAACAATGTTTTTCTGACAGAAAGACCCAAGACCCGCTGAATCCGCTGCGCCACCGCAGAATAAAGCTTGGCAACCTATCGTAAGAGTTACTTTTGTAGCACTAGACGAAGTAAAATACTACTTCCAAGTATTTAGTATCCATGCCATAAGTACAATATCGTAATTATTGTTATCTCATGTCTGTAAATAAGAGATTAAAAACGAATACACGTCTCTGAACAGTTTTGATAGTAATAAAACTAGACCTTTGTTCAATGAATAACAAAATAGAAAGTTTCCAAATGGGAAAGCAATGTTCCAAAACCTTGTATTGTTTGTAGAGCTAGTTGGTTAAAGCAGTAGCTAATTCCCTGGTCTTGGCGTCATTCAACATATAAGCATAGCCGACTTCACCCACGTAGCTTAGTTGTAGGTTATCATTAGAAGTGGTTTGTTCTGTTCTCAGGATGACGACGATTATGAGCCAGAGGATACCGCTATAGAATGCTATACAACTCCTCTTGATGAGAAGGACTGCGTCATTGACGAGTATATCAAATTCAAAACTACATTGCACAGTAAGTATCATTGTTGTATTTAAGAAACACTGCATTTAAATGTCATAAAATTGATTGTTAAGTTGGTTTCAGCTTACTTGTTGAACAGTCTCACAAAATCTGTCTCTATTCAGATTTACTTATTGTAAAGAAGCAACACTGTTCACTAGACATTCAATTGAATCTAATATGAACATAAATACCACACATTTTACCTGTTCTAAATGCAGTTTTGATGTGTGCTGTGTTGTTTTAACATGCCTTTTGTAACAAATTGTTTTTACCAATCTTCAGCGCTCTCGACTACCGAGCCAGCTCTGTACCATGCCCTCACGAGCGGGCTCAACGAATTGCAACAGAAGCAGCTAAACGCTGTCTTCGTATTAGCAGATCAGCGCAAGGCGCAGCAGGACAGTAAACGCATTGAGCAAAGTGGAGGTAAAGTATATATTCTTGTTAAAGTCTCTCAAAAACATCTTGTTTCTCTTAGCGCCACTTGATTTATATTCAAATAAAAGTTACACATGAATTAAATTATAATATCTAATATCGGTAATTTTTTCTCTTCCAGGCTATATGTTCACCGTACCTGCACAGGTGCCAACCAAATTCAAATTCGGCTCGTAAATGTAACGTAGCAAATATTACTCGTAAACATTCATCACACTTGTTGAATATATCCTCCAATTTGCCGCTTACGCTATAATTAATACAAATAGGTATATCAGCTCTAAATTGTTCGTACGCATCGCAGTTGGGCACTGAAGCCGCTTCGCACTCCGACGGCTAAGTAAACTGTTCTTAGTTCACATGCGTAGGCGGCCAGCTAAGGCTTAAATTCCTAGTGAGGCTGTAGGCTAATCTATGCCCTTGATTCAAGCCCGCGGCAACATCGGAACAGGAGCATATATTACAAGTGTGCTTGTCTTCGAACATATATGTATACACAGATGTGACACATACAAAATATGTTTTAAAAACTTACAAAGTGATCACTAATGACAAAGGATTACTGCAATTCAAGCGACTTACTATTTATTGTATTTATCACTTTGTAAATATTTATTACGTATTATTATTTTACTGATATTGTGCTTCATACATAATATGTTAAAATTATCTATCAATAATGTTAAATTCTATTAGGATATTCTTGATGAAGATTCTTATTTTAATTTGATGCTAAATACCTATTATTATTGCTTTTGATTGACAATTTGTTCCTGACGAAGGTACTTTATCGGATGAATATATATTATATTAATTATTATGAGATGAATAAGGAAATTTGTGAAAATTAAATCGGGTTCCTTTATGCTTTGCGACAATTGTATCCACAATTTTACACATTAGTGCCAACGAAATATTATTGTAGTCTAATTTTGTAATGAAATACCTATTGTATTGACGGGTTATGTTGCTCGTAGGTCGTAATCAAATTGCAATTATGTATTATGAAGTAACAATATCAGTGTTTCATTGAAAGTGGAGAAAACCTTCAGGTAAAATTATGCTAATATGTCTCCACTCGAGAGGCTAAACACACTGTTTACTCTAGATTTATTAACATATTATGATGGTATATTCGGGAATTAGATGTTACAATTTAACTCTGTCTGTTCGTAGTTAGATGGGTTCCGTATTTAATTATAGTTCAATTCATAATATATCAATGTTTAAAATCATGTTCGTTTAGCAAAATATGATATGTAATGATAATGATAGTACGTAAACATGTCTAATTCAATAGTCAATAGTTTGTAGGTGGTTTTTCCTTAATAGGAATTGATAGTAACAGTCAAATTTTAAGTACATATCATAAAATGTTGCTTGCTCGTCGTTTAATTAGGACGAACACACTCTGCAGACCTTCCTTCAAAGTAGTTAGAATGTACGGAACCCTTGCAGGTTACATTATTAGCATTAATTCAATCTATGTTCTCTAAATCCAAAGTAAGTTTCGGCCATGATGGTAGTATAGTGATTGGGCCCTAAAAGTAAACATGTGTTACAGTAATAATATCAACAAGAAGTGTCTATCATTTGATTACGAAATGTTTTAGAGTAAAATTATTCTGTACTCTACTGCCGAACGAAATAAATACAACATATCAACAATAATTGGCTACAATTTTTCCACAGGTATATGATTTCAAATCAAATTAAGTTATTTTTCAATTCTTGGTTAGTAAGAAAACATTGTAACTATTTCCTTCAATGTTGATTAGCATAATATATTTGTGATTCTGATGGAGTTCTCAAATTTTAATACTAATTCGATGAGATATCTGCAATATTAGATTATTCGTTAGAAGGGAATTTTAAAACTTAAGATACAATTGATGCTGTTACATAGTTTTTTTACTAGCTTTTCTATTTTTTTTTTTTTTTTTCACAATTACTTTAAAATACAGATTATTATAATGTTATATGCATAAAGGATATGCATCACTGACCTGGCAGTTATAGTTCGAACGCAATTATATTAAGTTTTAAAAATTTATTATGTAGTTGTCAAAACTTTGTTATTTCTGTTTACAATTGGTTGGAAAGATCGTTACTCGTATATCAATAACAGACTTTGTAACTACTTTGGATTGTGTATATTAGAATGATTATTAATATTATACACAATGGTCGATGCTTATTCATTGCCATCATTTATATATGTTCAAGTAGTTCCTTATTATGAAGTAAATGTCCTGTATATTTGGTATGATAACCTAAACACTGATTGTATGCAGAAATTTTGTTATTATGCTTATTTACTTTTCGACAACTGTTGATATAATTGTTATAACCATCACAATCTTTGGTAAATGTGCTCTGCTTTTAAGAATTTAGTGGAATGTGTGTATGACAAAGTTTATCTGTTAGACTTGTATAAAGATTCATCTATAATATTTGAGTTCAGATTCTGACGTTACATTGCAAACACAATTTGTTACCTTTTAAATTTGTTATGTAATGATTGAAATGAACTTCGAAGTCAGTAATGTGGCATAAAGGGATGTTCTAGTGTATGCGATGAGGACTTGTTACTGTTTTCTTCTGGCGTGAGGTGCGATAAGACTGTTATTACGTTGCTGGAGTGAAATCGTTGACTGATGACCTGCCGCAATCACCGACCGCAGTTCCGCCTACCAGGCCTCGAAGTCGTCTTACATAGTGGTGTGGTTTATAAGTGACTGGTTAGAGATTAGCATGTAAGGCACCGGGAAGACTACAGATTGGGCCAAGCTCGTATATTTTTATGTAATTAGTCTTAACTTTCAAATTGGAAAATTGTTCAAAATTATAGGAAATTCGCGCACTTTTTTTGATTTATTTATAATTATTTTCACATAACTAGCAAATACGAGCAAAAGTTTAATATATGTAATAGTGTTCGATCTCATAAACAATATATACTCATAGTTTTTCTCTCAAATATGTACTAGAAAAATAGTAAAACCCGTGTTAGTTACAATGTAAAACGACACATGTTAAATCTTAAACAAGATAGCTGCAGCTGCGTAATGCATTTGTTTCTGATTGATGTTGGTGTTTATTCTACGTGGCGATTGTAATGTGTATTCTATGCAATAAATACTACTATGTTATTGTAGTGGCACACTTCACGGTTGTTACTTTTCCTAAACAGTCGGTTGGAGCGCCAACCGACAAAATGTTGTGTATGTATGTTATTTTAAGCGATACTAAACCGCTCTTGTCTAATAGAACTTACTGTCATCACTGAATTGTTTGTGTGATTTGTATTATTATTCTATACCGCAGCTTAGATGTATACACGATTATAAATAATCTGTATTTTCTAATTATTTGTCTTTCATTTCTCTCCTTATAATAAGACCTAGTAGTCATTAGTTAGAAGTGTAATTCTAGTGTAATGCATAGTATATCTATTTATTCCCAGTTATGTTATTAATTAGTCTATGTAGTATTTGTCTTAAGTACACTAATGGTCTGGTATGTCCTCCGTTGGACGACCTAATAAAAGTCGCTGAATACAGCCTTCCGTTCACTAAATAGGGAGGCGAGTGTGCTGCCAGCATTCTGCTATCTCATAAGTATTCCTAAATAGAAGTTTTGAAATATTCTGCTCAAAGTGAACGTACATCGTTTTTGAGTTTTAGAAGGCAGTAAATACGGTAAAATGTAAAATGGATATTATTTTATCCTTGTATAAATCTGTGTCAATAACTTAGCAAACGACTTATAAACCTTTATTAATCGTATGATACATTATAAAAGTCTCAGCCACCATGGTGACGAGTGTTCTTGTCAGTCTCCGTTGTCTTCATAACAAGTTCTAAATTAGGTATTATAGAACTAATCTTAGAATAAAATAGATACCTGTACTTACATGTACAGCAATTAATATCTTGTAAAGTGGTAATGTCCATGCCTATGTATGAGATTAACAGTTATTGTTGTTACAAGTTATGATGTTTTGGTGAGATTTTCGTCTCTACGGGTAATGAAGTTGTCTTATGCTTTTGCATACTTTGAATGTAATACATTGTGTGTTCTTGTGTGTACAGTGTATTCTTTGTAAATGAAATGTATTTTTTTTGTAATAGTCATAATGAAAACCAAGTAACCATAACCAGCATAGTTTTGATCCTCTTAGAGAAAGAAAGAGATTTTACAAAATGCTGTACATGGAGCCCACATAATCTACTAAAACATAATATACGTTTAATATAGTTAAGGATTTGCAGTCAATATCTAAACAATAATACCTATTTGTTTTGGATCTTTTAAAATAAGGCCTTTATTACATTCCTTCACAATATTCTGGCCTTACATATTTTTATCTCTTGATTATTATACATATAAAAGCTGCTCATATACAAGGATATTTAATAATTTAATTTTATAATACCGTAGAAACAGGAAATTCCTACAAATATTTAAATTAACTGAAATAATACTTATAAAAACGTAAAACTTGTTTAAAATCCCTTGGTGCCTTGTTCTAGAATTGTTTATGGCATACAAGTTATGTTCATAGATGGAGCTTGCAGTAGGTACAGTTACACAAAGCTCTGAGGATGAAGAAATTGATGTGATTGAGATGTATGTATGCTTTTAGCGTTTTTAACATTTGGGAAACTGGTACCATGACGAAATATACCTACTCATAGGAGTATATAGGTAACGGCGCCCGCTGGCTGAAATATTCTTAATTACTTTACAAATATGGTATGCAGGCAAGTTATAAACATAAGATAATTCTGTAAAACATAACATTTAAAAATCCGTTTGTTTAATTTCCATACCTCTTAGGTCTTAAGTAGTTTAACAAGAGATATCCACAGATGGCGTTAGCAGAGCCTTAAAAGCTTAAATCGAGGTTGTCTGATGGTTCGAGGGGAATATTGCTATAAGTACGTAGGGATTTGATTGTGTCTTCAATAGCTTAGAGTAGGTAGATGATAAGTTTGCATCCAGCATAATTTGCGTTTAAGTAGTTGATCTATTAATGCTTACATATTAGAACCTTTATAAATAAAAATGAATTTCCTTTCGTTAGTCTCGCTAAAACTCGAGAACGGTTTAACCTATTTGGCTAATTTTGGTCTTAAATTATACGTTGAATTCCAGGGAAGGTGAGGCAGCTT